CCTGTCTCCTCAGAGATGTTGGACAAACTCTTAGCTGTGAGCCCCTGTACACATGAAAAGTTAAACACTTCTAACATTCAATGGCACAAAATAAACATTACCATTCCAAAAGTTACAAACAGGGGAATACAAAGGATTGGGACCAAAGCAAGTCCAAAATCCAGCAGGGCAAATATTAAGTCCTGTAGTTCCACATCCAGCATCTGAAGCAGTCTGTGGCACATTGTGAGATCCAAAGGGCTTGCATGACTCCATGCCTATGGCCCTTCTAGTAGTTGTGGCTCCCATGGCTTCTCTCTTAGGCTCATTTTTCTCCTCATTGCAGCTTTTCTTAGACGACCCACATTCCTGGCTTTTCCAAACTCCTGGGGTCTCCACTGCACCTTTTGCTTCACACTCACAGCTTCACACATTGGCCTATTAGGGGTGCACTGCCTGTGGGCACCCAGGCCTTCTGAAATCAAGGTGGAAGCCTTTTTACCCTCAGAACTTTTGCATTCTTCATGCACCTAAAACCAGCACTACGTGGATGATGCCAAGGTCTGTTGCCAGCTAGAGCAGTAGCCAGGTTTTCCTCTCCCTTGGCTGTGGGGATTGAGTGCCTGGATTGCTGGACACTATGAATCCAATTCTGAGGAACAAATTTTATATGCTGGCACCATTCTGGAACCCAGTGCCATTGCCACCACCATTCTGGAATATGGCACTCTGTGGCTTTCTTCTCAAAGCGAAGTCTTCCATCCTTGCAATTTTGAGGGTGCACAGGGTGGAGACTTGCTTCCTCTTTTGATGCCCTTGGGCCATCTTTCTGATTCTCTTGTTCCTCCTCAGCCCTCAAGATCTCCTCTGTTCTATCTTTATACTCAACAGCTTTACTGGAGCTTCTTTTCTGGCAAAACTCACAACAATTTAAATCATCCTGCTGGGCTTTTTGCTCTTGATTCTCAACATACATCTGGCTAAATGTCCCCAACAGTAGCCATACCACTGCCCTAACATTTGACTGCCTTGAAATTGCTTTTTCCAGATTTATCAGTCTACCTTAATCTCAATCTCAAAGGCTCTGGACACTAGCAAAATGCAGGCAAACTTTCTGCCAAGCCATAACACAGGTCAACTGGAGTCCAACAACTGATGCAGTTCTGCTTTCCAGAAGAAACCTCCCAAACCTGGTCTTTACTGGCTGGACTTCCATCTGCCTTCTAATCTTCTGAACTCTGACCAGAATCTCCCATACAGAACAGCTGAAGGCATTCTAGCACTTCTCTTTCAGGTGAAATCTCTGAACCTTTACAAACACTTCCCACAAGCCATTTCCAAAGACTTTTGAGCCACATGGTCAGATATAGTCACAGCAACAACCCCATTCCTGGTACCAAATTCTGTCTTGGTTAATTTTCTCTCTTTGCTGAGACAAAAACCCAGTGCCCAAAATTAAGGAAGGAAAGGTTTATTCAGCTCACAGTGTGTGGAGGTTTCAGTTCATAATCAACTGGCTCCAAGGCAGGGTGGCACATGGCAGAGGGCAACAGTTTACTGCTGCAGGAAAACAGCAAAAGCAACAAGAGAAAAACAAAAAGGAGTGGCAGAGAACAAGCATCTTTCCCTTCCTTGTACTATTTGAAAACTACCTGCCCCAGGGCAGGTGTAGCCTCACCCCCATAATCCCAACATTGGACCATGAATCAGTCATAAACTCTAGAAGCCCACCTCAGGACTGCATGAGGCTTTGGGGGGACATCCAGATGCAAAGTGTAACAAGGTCGTTCTTGTTACATTGACGTTTAACAGTAGTGCTAGTCAGTGTTTTATTGCTTGGACACAATGATAAACACCCACAATTTGCCAGAGTGTTTTAATTTGTCTCATGATTTCGGGGCATTCAATCCGTGATTGGCTGGCTCCAAAGTAGAAACTTCATGGCAGAGGAGCTTGACAGAGGAAAACTGCTTACCTCATTGTGGCCAGGAATCAGAGAGGAAGGGCCAAGGACCATATTTAGTACCCAAGACTGCTCCTCTGTGACCCACCAAGATATACCAGGAAATGTGCTTTTTAATACACTGGTGGCTTCCAAGTCCATCAAATTGACAAAATTAAACTTAACCATCACATCTAATGAGGGGTAAGATGGATGTCAGGAATCAGAACGTGGCTTGTATTGATTATTAAGCTTTCATGTCTAACTCCAAATTGATCCTGCTTTCTACATTTCACCAGAACATACAGTTTCCATAGAACTGGAAGTTAAGACTGCCACCTGGTGTCTTTGAGCTCCTCATGGTTCTGAATCAACAGGTTAAAAAATGAGTTACTATACTGGCTGGTTGATTGATCTGAACCTCTCTTAGTATTACCATGCCCTGTGATTAAGGTCATTGGGAAACTACAACCCAATTCAGGGACACAAATGGCTCAACTCCCTGTTAACTGGTATGTCTTTCATGGATTTTGCCAGCTGAAGTTGTTCATTGGTTCACCTCTCCTATAGACCTCTGCTAGGAAGTGCAGCTGGACCCTGTAAGCTTCCCGTGGACACTGGTAAGTTGCAATTAACCCAGTGGTTCTGTGTTAGTGCCTGTTAACCTTAATAAACATTATATCTCACAAAAGATGATGGAAAACTGTTCCATTGCCATAGCATACCATACTTGAGCTCTGGACGCCATTATTATTTCCTCAGGCAATGCAGAGCTAATCTTCTCAGCAGGTGGAAAAGCCAGGGCCACTGTGGGAGAGGTTGCATCCACCTCTGGGAAGCGGGGTGGAGAGGTCAGTTTGCAAACAAAACTCATCAGAATGTAGGACCTCCCTCACTGTACCAGTAGATACTGAGAATTCAACCTTTGTTGTAATATAGCCAGTCACATGATGGGCATGTATCTGACTTTCAGCACTTTGGCTACAGAAGAGAAAATTCTGGTACACTTTGGACCTAAAAAATCATATCCCTGAGCTCATCTTTTTCTTTCATTGCTTTGTGATGATGGTAGGAGCAACCAACCAATATCTTTCTAGTCCTTGTTTTCCCACAAGTGTTCCAAAATATCATGCATAGAGTTATCACATTCTCTGTGTCTCATCAGTGGTGAATTAGGAGTATCAAATATATTTAGTTTGCATAATTCTGTGTGAAATTTTTCCTATCATGGCATTTTTTCCTATCATGGAACATGGAAATTTTTCCTATCAAAATGGAGTCAATTGTGTCAACTCTACTGAGAGAAAAGCTGAATAAAGTCAGGTTATGAAGGAATGCTTATCATCCATGATTCCCTGAGAGTTACCACCACAAAAGACTCTACTAGACTATAGTTTTACAGAAAGGTAGTGAGATGTTTGACAAAAAGTCTTTTACAAGGACATCTTCCCAGCAATTCTCTGTTCAACCTCAGGCTGATAACCTTCTTGTTATTAACCACTGCGGCCAGTGATTATCATTTTAAAATATCTGACCTTCCTTGCTTTTGTCTTTATAACCTTCCCCTTATTTCAGCCTCCTTGAATGCACTCAGTTTACTGTGGCATACTCTGATTATAAGGTTCTGATATCCATCCTTGTTGCAATTTTTTTCAAGTAAATGACATTATTTTGGCGAATCTGTTTTTTTAATTTATGTAGGTAGCTATGAAAAGTTCATGCTACAGAATGTCAGTGCTCTCTATAATGTTAGAAGTAGACTCTTCAGCATTTTTAGGTGTAATCCTAATACCAGAAACCCTAAATAAGGAATTTATCCTTAAAATTCAGTTCCACTAGAACCACTCCTGATGCCCAACTCTCTATTGGTCAGGGATTTCCAGAGACAAAATTCATATTAAATATACGCATATATAAAGGATATAGGATCTAGATAAAAATATGTAACAGGGGAATTACTTGGGAATTGGCTCAGGTGATTATGGCAGCTGAGAAGTCCCACAACAGGCCACCTGCTCACTACCCTGGTAGCAGGACCTAGTCCACTCGAAAGGCCTTACAGCCCAGAAGTGGGCGATGTACCTTTCTGTTTGAGGCCAAACAGCTGGGAACCCCCAGGTGCCTCTGGTGTAAATCTGGAGTCTACAGACCAGAGAGCCAAGGACAGAAGAGAACGTGCATCTCAGCTCTGAAGATAGATGCTACTTGGTTCTCTCTCACATGCCCCACCCTGACTGGACACTGCCCACCCACTCTAAGGGTGAATGTTCCTCGCCAAGTGGTCTCAGATTCACACACTAATCGCCTAAGACGTACTCTCACAGACACCCCTGAAAACAGTGCTCTACACTTTTGAGATCTTCCCTAGTCCACTCAGGTTAACCCCTGAAATTCACCATCACAGGGAGTAGAGTCTAGAAGGCTGAGGTGGAAACAGGGTCTGACCTCTTGTTTGGTCACTCTTCTGCATCACCGCTGCAGTTGGCTACAGTCACCATTTTCCCCCTGATCTCGTAGGAGCCTCATCGTCCTGACTCAGAGGTAGGAGCACCACCAGGGCAGGTGCCCTCTCCCAGCTCTGCAGGGCTTCTCTTGGAAGCGATCTAGCAATTTCCATTTTCTCCCCTGAGCCCAGAAGTGGTGATGACTGCTTCCTGAAGTTATTCTGCATCACATTGGTGTTACTTGCTTTTTAGTTCTCTGATAGTTGTTTATGCTAAAATCCAATATTAAATTATTTGCTGCAATAACTAGTAGGGTTTCTAAGACATAATTGGACCAGGACTGAACTAATGTGCAGATATTGATCTATAATGTGGTGGGAAGAATATGGTTAGAATGGGGGCTACTGTCTGATGATTGGAAAGGTGACTGGGGATAGAAAAGGGACCGGTAACAACTCATTCTTGTCCCCTTGCTAACCACAGGCCTCTGAGAAAGCCAGTGTTTGCCAGTGGACAGCTAACAGCTGCAGGGGGTTATTAGGAGGATGTACCTGGAATCTCCAGGGTCGTTCATGGCAACAGCAAAACAAATACAAACACCTTTAGGATCTACTTCTTCCTGGAGCGCGGCTCCCTGGAGGACAGCGCAGAAGTGGCTTCTTTCTGTGCAAGCAATGGGGCTGCAGCCTTCCTCCGACACCTCAGATGTTAACGGGGCAGCGTATGTGTGTGGATGAGAAAGGCCGGGAAGGGGCTTGGCTGTTCTCTGCTTCTCCTGTGCCTCGGAATTATCTCCACCACGGAAATCTGCAGTGGAGCTCGGGACTGGCTAAGCTCTGATTCATGAGTCTGGTTGGACAAGTGATCCTCTGAGTTATTCTCCAAATGCTACTGGTACTTTATCAAAGATGGGAGAAAGAAACACGAGGGAGATGTGCCTGCAGGCTTCAGGTGACCTCAGAGAGGAGGAAAATAAAGTGAAAGGCATTCCCAGGACAGCTCTTGGAGGAGATTCCAGCACGAGGTGGTAGCCAGTCCAGACTGGACAGGGATTCAGAAACAAAGTAAGGGCTGATTTCTGAGAGACGCCTTCTGGCCTTAGACCATCTCTTAAAATCTAGCAGAGCTTGGGAGAGTTTGGCTGAGATTCTTTTGGGTGCTGGGCTGGCTAGAATTGAGTGCTATAAAGAACTAAGTGGGAAAACGAGCAAAAGACATGACTAGCCATTTCACAGAAGAGGAAATAAGTTTGGGAAACAAATATATGAGAAGATGCTCAAGTTTTTGTATGAGGGTGCAGTGAAATATTTTGTATCCACTTGATAGGCAAAAATCAACAAGTCCTGTATTAGTAAATGTCAAAAAACTTTTTTTAAAAAATTGGTTAGGTGTTTGTGGTGGCACATGCCTGTATTCCCAGCACTTTGGAGACTGAGACAGGAAGATTGTCACAACTTTGAGGCCAGTTTTGGCTACACAGTGAGTTCAGGCCAGCCTGAATTACACAGACCCTGTTTAGAAACAAAACCAAAACCAAAAGCAATTGGTTTATATTTGTAATATGTAGTAGTTACATTTGTTTTGGGGAATGGCACATACATAAGTCCTATCTTGATCGTTCCCAATCCCCTGGGAATGACTGTGTTAATTAGCATGACTTGTCATTTCACAATGTATCACATATCAAAGCACCAAATAGTTAATATATCAGGATGCAATTTAATATGTAATTTATATTTATCAATTTGCTACAATAAAAAGGTATGACTTTTTTTTTTTTTGGTCTTTTTGAGGCAGGGTCTCACTATGCAGTTCAGGCTGGACTTGAGCTCATTTTGTAGCTCATGCTGGTCTTGAACTCATGACGATGACCCTCCTGCCTCAGCCTACCAAGTGCTACAGGCATGCGCCACCACGCCCGGCTCAGGTATGACTTTTCTTGAGAGGGGAAAAAAGAAAGTGTCTAGGGAGCTTGGTCCTCTGGTTAGCAATCTTATGACCTCCTGGGAGAAAAACCAGCCTTGTCGTTTTACCTCAAGGTACCGTCTCCAAATATCACATCATAGGTAAACCCTGATAGCAATATGTTTAGGAAGATTTATCCTAAAGGAACTTTAAAAAATGTTCATAAAAGTATTGTCTAAACTGGGAATGAACTAAAGGCAGTGAGCGACTTAGGATATGTGATATATATGAAATACTATGCAGGAGTGAAAATGACCTAATGTAGCTACATACAATTGGCATAGACTAATTTCAAAACGTTTTGTAGAAAACAGCAAATCTTTAAATAATTCATAAAGTATAACTTGATTTGCATAAAACACAATATTCAAAATTTAAAATGTTGTTTAGAGATGCATACGTATGTAAAGCAACTGACAAACAGCAAGAAAATTATAAACCTGTATGTTGAATGCTAGTAGCTTGGGGAGTAGAAAAGTAGTAAGACTGGGGTGAAGAACAGGCAAGCCAGAAGCTTCTAAGGTGCTGGTATTATATGTCTTAACTGGCATGGGATTTTAGAAAACAAACCTTTTTATCATGTACGTCTATTTTTAACAGTTATCCTTTTGACCATTTTATAAAGTTACGTAATGTATTAAAAATGGTACAAAATGTAGATATGGTAAAAAAGCTACTTGTAGAGTTCATTAATTCAAAGGTGACTCTTTTTTCCACATTTTAACACTTCTGAAATAACTGTCGCTTGATTGTCATCTCAAAATTGCTGAGTAGTAGTCATCACGCAGTTTACAAAGGCATGTGAGAATCTGCTCTAACTCTTCTTACTGTCGTCCCTTCACAATACATGTACCGCCTGTTTTACACTTTGATTCTGAGCACCAATTCAAATGTTTTAAGAGGGGACTGTGACTTGGCATCAAGACAAGCGAATGACAAGTTTCTGTGCACTGAGACACGCAGAATAATGTTACAGAATCATACGTTCAGTGTTCAGGAAGTGTGATTCCCGGTTTTTGTCTTAAGATCTTTATTCCTTCTTTTCTTGTAAAGCAACAAAGTGCTGAGACCCGTGGAAGGAAGACACCCTCAAGGAAGCGATGCTGAGAAACATACAAGGGAGAACCTGGGACACAGCAAGTCACACGGCCAAGGGTGCAGAAATCAAAACTCTCAGCATTGAGAGGAAACTTAAAGGCAAGCCGCTGATATGATCAACTCATGCTTCTCTTCAAGACCGTGTAAGCTTTTGTGTCATGGGTTTTTCTAGGCAGTGAAGGGATGGTGCATTTTATAGGCAACAGCCCCTGCTATGTTGGTAACGGCACTGCGTGAGGTTTTGAGTTGATATAAACAGGAAGAAGTCTGGAAGAATCATACCCCAGGGATGGGTGACACTTTCTCACTTTGAGGATAGGTGATTTTCCCCCTCCTTTTGCTTATCGCTAATTCTAGTTTCCCACAATGCAGACATTATTTGTGTAATGAAGTATTATTACTTAGAAACCTTGAGGTGTGTGTGTGTGTGTGTGTGTGTGTGTGTGTGTGTGTTTTTGCTTTAAAGAAAGTCAAGTAGGCTTCATGTCATTAAGAGAATGGGAGGGAACCTCGCAGCTTTCCTCAGTCCCCTGTAGGGGCCAGTGAGACTAAAGTGAAAGAAAGCTTCAGACAAACGGGGCCGTTGGTTCCAGTCCCAGCCCGCTTGTGCACCCGCCTTGCACTGCCCTTGCTGTAACCCAGGAGCTGCGCGATCTTCCACAGGGGCTGTTGGGAAACCCAGTTAAGTTTCAAAGGCTTTGTGCAACCTGGATTTCCAGGGATATCTACGTTTTCATGTGTGAGTCCAGGGAAGGGAGCAAGGTTTTAATAACCTCTGGAAATTTAGGATTAATCAGCTAACCATACTTCTCTCACAATTTAATGTGAAGATGAAACACAGACTGACATGGTTATCGTCACCTGTACGGGCTTCTTCCAGGACTCAAAGGTTGACTTGGTGCAAAAATGCCTCCTGTCTCCTCTCCTGCCTCTCGGCCTCCAAAACGCTGTCTTCCAACCTTGCTGGCCAGGAGTTAGACCTCTGTCCTCTCCAGAAGTCTCCCCGCTGCTATTCTGTGACGAGACGGGCATCTCAGTGTAGCTGCGCTGTCTGCCACCCCGAGACCTGGGTTCTCGGGTCCCCAGGCTGAGTATAGCTAGAGGCCTAGCAGATGTGTACCTTCCCAGCAGAGCAGTTTCAGCTGAAAGAATGCTGGCTACAGAACCAGCTTTCTTCCCTTGAGAAAGTGACTCTGTCAGTGTAATCTGAAAACACCTCACTCTGGATTTCCGAACAGAAAGACAGCTACGCAGTGATTTTAGGAAACGCACCGTGCTCTTGCACACAGTGTGATTACACAGAAAACGGGTGAACACAAGAAAGCAAGCTTTCCCGGCATTTCTCCCAGTCTGAGCCTTCTCTCCCTGGTGTCCAATCAGTTGGGTTCTGTGGGCTGCAGGGTGTCTGGAGGGAAGCCAGGGGCGGGGCAGTAGAAAGAACCCTCTGGCCTGGGGCTAAGAGCTGTCTCCACCTTGCCACCGCCCGTGAGGTTGCCCTGGGAAGAGGAGTGCTACCCGTGGGCACCCCCAGTTGGAGCGGCTCTGCTGAGCCTCAGGTTCTAGTATTTGAGAAGTCCAGGGAGCGGCATTGAGGGATGGCAACCAAGAGGCCCAGGTACAAGAGGAAGGGGTGCGGAGGTTGCCAGCAGGGAAGAGGAGCAGCCACTGTGAGCCCTGTTCCGGGTCTCTGCTGCCTTCAGAGTCTCACCTGAGCTGCGATGGGGACAGCAGGGGGGCCCGGAAATGATCCATTGGGGACGGCCCAGGTGTTTCCCCGTGGGTTAGCATGGGCGAGGCCAGTGCATTGGGGCCAGACGTCCAGGATGGTGTGCAGCCACCTCCTTCCCTACTAAACACCAGTGGTATCGAGTCAGCAGTGTGGCCACGAACTGCTCCCACTTCCTTCCAACGTCCCCCAGCGATGGCAGCCCCTTCTACTTGGGCTTCCGAGCCACTGAAAGCCACTAAGCGTCCCTGCCAAGGTCCCAACCGGAAAGTCCTTTGTGCAGTCCTACGTTCAGCTCTGACTTATCAGGAGATCACACTGCCTCACACGCCGGCTCCTCGGCCCCGCAAGGCCACAGCCGCAGGCAGCACCCATCAGTCAGCGGGCGCGGGTTTCACACCGAGCGTCTCCTCTTAGGCGTGAATGCAAACCCTCACGCAAAGAAACGGGCGGGCGCTGGGACCCAGTCTGCCTTCCAGCCTTGTCTGATTTTAAGAAACAGAGCCAGCTTTTTGAGCTTCGGTTAAAATTCACCCATATAGCTAAAAATAAAAAACTCTTGTGCTCTTAGTCCTAAGGTCCCTTCTAGATTGGAAATTAATTCTACTAAGACAGACGCCGTAACTGATGTATGTCTGCATGTGGAAAAGGAACATCAATGGCTTGCAGAAAAGAAACAGTTTACACAGGAAAAGAATTCTTACCACTCAAGTTTTAGGGAAACATTTTATAATTTATATATAAAATCTCAGTAAGAAACCATGTAAAATGACAGAAATATCCACCTTACATTGAGACAAAAAAAAAAAGAAATAACAAAAAAACCACATACACTGAATGTATATTTTAATTATAAAACAAGAACGTGAACAAAACATTTTAAAATAATCTCAATTATTTGGCAACTCATCACCTCATTGCAAAAGACAGATCTGACTTTAAGAAAAGTTTAATTTTATGAAAAACTTAGGTTGGACAGTTTGCTCACATGGAAGTTAAAACATGTTTAAAAAAGAACCTGGCAGTAAAACCAGCTTCTATCCTGAAATAACTGTATAAAAACAACATGAAACCCTGGAGCTGAGCAGGTAGGAGTGACCTACTCGGCAACGCGCTTCCCTTTGTGGAGAGATGAGACAGGAGGGATCTCCGGAAGCTTCCGGAAGCACGGGGTGGGGGAGGGGCGAACGCCCACAGAGGGCGCTGCTGCAGGAGATGGGGGACTCTACCTGAACCAGAACCTCTAACGTCACAGGGGCCGGTGGCAAAGCCACAGATGCAAGTATAATCTAAAAACAAGTTACATTCTTAAAAAGCAGTCCTGACTGTGAACAGAAAAGCAGTGGAGACCCTTCCTTTAGCTAAACTACTCTACTCGGATACATGCGAGAGTTTCTGTGTTCCTGCTGGGTCACAGTCGGACAGTTACAGGGCAGGCAGAGTCCTACAAAAGTTTCTACTAATGACTGCATAGCATTTAAAACCCTTTTTATTAAAAAAAATAATAAAATAAAATAAACAGATATATAGTAAAGTTCACAGATAAGTTTTCTCTGTAAAATAAATAAAGTGTTCATTGATTAGCATCATACATAGAGTAAAATACAACCTATTTTTACATGTTTATATACTATACACAGATCACCAGTCGGCAGCCTGGTGTCTAATGGGCTGGAAGGGTTTGCTTTAGTGACGTGTCACATTGGGAAATCCCAATTTTGAATGTTAAAATATACAACTACTTTGTTTTGAGTTCAGATACAAGTAAACTTATTTTCCTTTATCTGAAATAAATGTACATAATATCTTCTATGAACAAGAGTTTATAAAGCTGTTTAAAACATAACAAGAAAAAGCTTGCACCTAGGAACTTACAGCACATGCATATCCGTTTCTCGGTTAAAAAAAAAGCCTGTGGCCCCGAGGCTCATCCCTTCCTCTCCAGTGTCCCTCAGCGGGCCATGGAAGGCGCCGGTTGGGATTACCGCTTCGTCTTCTTCACGGGGCCTTCTTCTACTCTCTGCTGGCCTCGAGTCCGGGCCCCGGGAGGGCTGACTTCTCTCTTGCGCTTGGTAGAAGGGGAGAGCTGAGTCTTTGATCTGCATGAAATAAGTCAAGCAATAATCAGAGTTAAAAGCAGCTGCTTCAGATGCTTCTTTACAAAACTCCTTCTTTAAAAAGGAGTTTTTTAAAAATACAAAAAGCTGTACTTGACTGCTAAGAAGAGAGAATCCCAGTAGCCTTTGTATGGGAAAGGGTTGGACAACTTCACACACACAGGGCCCAGGGAAAGCATGGATGGCTGTGTCCCGGTTCCAGCTCCGACACCTCTGCTGTTGACCTTGGTCAAATCCGCTTTCCACTCTAAGTGCAAGTTCTAGCTATAAAACAAATCAACCGCTGGCCCTACCAGTACACACTGTCTCCCGCTGAAACAGCCAGCAAGACTGCAGGACTGCAGCCGAGGTTCCGCCCACGGTTCACAGGGTACCGCTGTGTAATACAGTGGCCATGTCAGGAGAGGAGCTCCAGGAGCCCACACGGACCAACACCTCTACCACCCGCTTTTCCCTGTTCTTCAGTCTGCCCCCAGAATTACCTGCCAGGAAACTCCATGAATGACATCACTCTCCTTAGGTATATGCAGTCATTCAGAACAGCACACAAGCCCTCTGCTTTCATAGCATCCTGGATTATAGCCCTTCCAAAGAGTACCATTCCCAAACAAATGACCTCTTTTTACATCTTCATGTATGTGTGATGTTTTGATGTGTGATATTTTGTTTAAAACATCATCTTAACAAGAAATAAAAATCACCTAAACCACCACCTCATCAAACTCTCTCCCCACTGGTGCACTGGGGACTAAAGCCAGGGGGCACTGAGCTATAACCGCAACACTTAGCTATTTGGACACCAGGTCTGGCCTTAAACTAGTGATCTTCCTGCCTCTGCCTCCAGAGTAGCTGGGATTACAGGTGTGCACCAGCACCACACCCAGCTCTGAACTCCTGATTGCAAAACTCCAGTTAAAAAGTCATTTCTCCGGGAAGCCTTGTGGGTCACACAGCAAGCTGCTCCCTCCTTAGAAACTCCACAGCACTCTGCAGTGTCTCCACAGGGCTCATCATTATAATTTACCTGCTCGGTTTTTTCAAACCACGGGTCAGTCAGTATTTCAAAACAACATATTAATAGAACATATTAGAACATACTGTCACTATCACACATATTAAGCTGGACTCATGAAAACTGCTTCGGTTACTGTAGCGGGAATGTGGGCATCAGATAGTGTATACTGCAAAATGTAGTTTTACTCTGGGCGGCTGTAAGAAAGCTTGAAAGTCTAACACAGACCTCTCTCCTATGCGCTGTTTACCCAGGGCAGCTGCTGACGTTCACTCACGTGTCTAACTCTAGCGCCCACTGCGTTGTTCAATCCATGGCAGCAAGCAGTAAATGTTTTATTAGGGAACAAAAAGACTTGGAAAAGTAGAACTGCTAGACAGGGAAAGAAGGAACTCATACTCCACAGATGCTGTGGTTCTTGCACAGTGGTACCCATGCATATGTCGAGAATAGCTAAGTAAGGAGTGTTTGTTCTCCAGATTTACCCACTTACCAAAAAAATGCCTCAAGTTTATCCTTCTTTATGGCAGAGTAGTATTCCACTGTATACAAATACCATACTCTTAAGTGAAATAAATCAGACACACAAGCTTAAATATTGCATTGTTTCTCTTGTGTGAGAGACCCAAAGGGTAAATAAGGAGCATAATGGAGGACATATACTGGAAAGCAAGAAGAACTTGTCCAAATGCGACAGGGAACAAGGGAGAGAGCAGGGGAGAAGGAAGAAAGGGAAAAGGGATTTAAAAAAAAGGACAGAGAAAGGAAGAAAATATGGAAACAAAGCTTTTGTAAATGCAGAGGAGAGGAAGGGCTGAAGGGAGGGGAATGGACCGGGAAAAAAAGAATTAAGATATATTATGTACAGGTACAAATTCCCCAGGATGAATGTGATCGTTATGTATGCAAACATGTACTTAAAAAAAGCAGTACTTGTTAATAAACGTTCAGCCTGTGCTGCGGAAGCCAGCAGACACACACTGACTGCAGAGTCGCTGCGCCCAAGAGCCACACTGCTCTATTAGCAGCCAGCAGCAGTGCCGACGCAGACCCGCCTGAGCCCGGGAGGCGGCCCAGGCCCTCACTCCGCAGAGTGCAGTCCGCGACCAGCGCCAACGAGCAGCACTAAGACCTGGGAGTCATTTCAGCAATGACTCCTCTGCACATTCAATTCTGAGATGCGTGCATGCACATCTGCCTGAGATTCCTCCCTTGCACGTGAGACAGAGAAGTGCAGTGCTACACTTCATCTGATGAGGGTGAAATGAAAATCTGCTCGCCCTTCTTTGGAAGACACGGAGGTAACTGCATATTGTATCACTAATGTGTTGTGAAGATCAAAATGTGGTAAGAGATGTCAAACAGTTTTTGGATATGGAACCGTCTTTCTTTTATTTTTGAGTGCTACAGTGTATACAGAATTACACAGCAAGTTCCTGAGCTCAATGAAGAAAGAGTGTGCAAGGGGAACAGCACTGAGGTACCTCAACCACGGCCACCTGCCACTCCTCCCTACGCAGTACTGACTGACAGTGCAACAGGAAGGAGACCCAAAGGGGCTGAAGCAGGAGGGGCAGGCACCCTGCAGAAGGGTAGGAGGGAGGGAGGGCCGTGGCTTACCAGGGAGCGGGGAAGCGCACACCGCACGAGCACTAGCAAAGGAAGAGCAGACCCAGCACAGCCTGTGCAGCAGAGACGCCTCAGGCTGCAGAGCAAGGTGTGAGGCGGCAGGCGGCTGTGTCTGAAAGGGGACCCTCGGCTTTGGGAGCGCACGACCTCTGCAATGCTATAGAAGAGCAGAAACGGCTCCGGTTGCTAGGGGCCTTATCGTGCCGTGCCGGTTAACTGGCACGGAGACCGTGGTGCTCTGGGAAGGAATCTGCCCTGCCTCTGCTCTTGGTGGACCGGAGCTGCCAAACGAGGCTCCTGTGTGAAGGACAAGCCGTGCGGCCAGGCCGAGAAGCCAGGCCACTGAAGACGTCTGCGTACGTCCTACTTCTCCTCCCCAAAGACAGTTACTTGGTGAGATAGAAGTCTGAAAGCAACTTGGGAAGAAAGCACCACTGTCCAGAAATAGTTCTGGGGGTTCAACATGACTTGAGGAGTACAGGGACTTACCTTCCTAATGGGGGAGACTTACTAACTTTTTCGTTGGTAGATAACTTCTCTTTTGCTAATGTTTGGTGATTTCTAGGAGGAACTGTTTCTGGACTGCCAAGTTTGGACGCTGCACGTGCAGATGGCTATGATGCTTTCTGAAACGGGCTACAGACACCCAGCAACAGCAGTGCTGAATCCCTGGGACCATTCAGAAAGGATGAGGCTCCTCATGGGCAAGACGGACCAGCGGGACAGAAGGCAGGACACGGTGGCTTTCTTGACCATCGCTAGAAGGCAGACCTTGACGTCATCCAGGACTAAACCTACCTGCATGACCCCGTCTTTTACTGTGCGTGACATTTTACTATGACTTAGGAAAAGATGACTCTGACACAGAAGAGAGTACCACAAAATCCTGCCAGAGTAAAGGAGGTCAGGATAGGGTAAGAAGCCAAGATGCACAAAAGCACAATTTACAGGGATAGATGGTAAAGTTCTGAGAGTGAACAGCACAAGAAAAATCAGGTGAGGGGAGAGCTGACGTGTCAGTTAAAACTCTAGGCAAAAGCACCTGTTTAGTTCAATCCAAGGCAACTCTGATGTGGGTACCTCTTGAAGAGGATGCAGCAGATGAGGCTGGACTGTCCTCTTCTGGACTCACGACACCACACTCGGTTTTAAAGAGATGTGAGCTGAAGAGTGCACAGGGAGGACGAGAAGGCCCCAAAACCAGCAGCAGCTGCCCGCAAGTATTTAAGGGAGAATTACACAAAGTCCCCAAGAGCAGAACCCGAGCCGAGAGCAGCAGTAAGAAAGGGAGCTTCATTTGGACGCGAGGCTGCTGGGGAGGAGGTGGCCTCCCCAGCCTCTGATGTGTGCAAGAGCAGAAGATGTCCAGGAGCTGCTGAGGGAGTGGCCCAGGCACTGACGGACTGCAGTACCAGGCGACCAGTGGGGACATGTCCAACCTTGTGAACCTGGGAAACTGCAAAGGCCAGAGCCCTGGAGCCGATCACCCAATGCCACGGCACTAAGTCAAAGAAAAAAGAACTCCTTGTAAACCCAGGTGATTGCCAAGCTACGTGAGCTAAATGCTTTACTTTTAGAGAACACTGTTTCAGAGAGGCAAGCCTAATAGCCTTGGTTAGACCCTCACTGGGCAGCACCCAGGAGGCCTGTGGGGTCTGCTCTCCATCAAGTCCTCTGCTACTGGCCATGCTGCCTGGGCTGTCAGCTGGGGATGCGCTGTGCCGGGGGCAGGGCCGAGCTCTAAGAGCCCCAAGCCCGTCAGCCGGAGTCCTCTGACAATACGACTGACTTCTACTCCTCTGAGTGGCACAATCAAAAAACCAAATATGAGACCACTTTACCTTTGGTCATGTGAGCTCCTTGGGTCTTGGCTTTAAAGTCAGATTCTCTGAGCAACCAAACCTTGGCACCAGTGGCTACTATGTGTAACTTTGAAGGAATTACAAACAGGTTGATTTTAAGTCTATGCGAATGCAAAATACTGCCTTCTTTGTGGCACTGGGACTTGAACTCACACTGAGCTAAACTCCAGTCCTTTTCATTTTGAGACAGGGTCTTGCTAAGTTGCCCTACAACGTATGACCCTCCTGCTTAGCCTCCTGAGGAGCAGGGACGCAGACATCTGGCACCATGCCCAGCTTATGACACTGTTACTACTATGCCCAGCTTATGACACTGTTACTACTATGGTCAGAGGTGTTAGTAGCGATACTTCTTGAAATGAATATTCCTGAACTTTTTCATCCATTTTGGGTAATACAATTATAGATGATTATATTAAAATTAACTATGAATCACACTAAAAATACCGAACATTCTTGCTTTGCAAGAAGTTACTAAGAATCAGGATGCGACTACATAGCCATGTATCACTTCTCAAAACCTGGAAAAGCACTGTAGCTGGTGAGTGTAGTGACGGGGCTGGTGGTCAGTGAAGCTGAGAGTGTAATGGGCCAATCCTGCCAGATTAAACCGAGTTACACAGGTCTCCTTCCTTCAGGACTCTGCCAGGCTCAATGACTCAGTGTACACTGTGAGCGAGGAAGAGAATCCTGGCTTTCCCAGGCTCGTCTGACCATCTACTCTTCTCCCACACAGGCTTCTGGCTCCACTAGGGTCTGAGAGAACAGACTTCGGGAAACATCTGGAATTACGACTTACAGGAGTATAAAAATGGCCAAATTTGGACAATTTCCTACGATCAATGCAAGTGACGACAGTGACGTGACTGTGTGTGCCTGACTCCCCTGCTCCCTGAGGTCAGGCACCCTGAGCGAGGGGCCTGTGTTTTCTGTATCTCTATACTCACAGAGCTCAGCACAATGTCTGAGACGGGATGCTCAAAAAAGATCTGTGAAAGAACTGATGCGTTCCACCAAACAATTGCAACCGTTAAAGACTCTGAAATGACTCTCAAGTAACTGAAGACCGAGAACGGGTTCTCCCAGAAGATGCAGACTGGCGGAGGGCTGAGAGCACGCCGCCCTCTGCTGAAGGTAACAAGAAAGCAAAGAGCTTGCCACGGGGGTGAGAGCTGTGCAGTTGGAAGGGAATCCCACAAAACCTGGAGGTGTTTCCAGCAGAGAAGGTGGTGAAGCGCTGGGGCAGCTCTGCGTCACCCCGTTACCTCTGTGCCTCTGATCTGGTGCTGGACCGTGTAGTGGCTCCCAAGGGCTCATCCTCTTCCTCTTCTTCCTCTTCCTCGTCAGACTCCTGATCTTTCTTGTCCTCAGTTGATTCAGAAACCAATTTCTGGCGTTTTCTTTCCTGCTCTGAGGATTCTGTTCAGACAGAATAGTAACACCTGGATTGTACAATTCCCAAAGACACTTCCAAAGGAGAGTCATGGAGTTCAGAACTTAGGATATTAGGGACTTGGAGGCAAAAGAAGTGGTTTTCCACTTCCTTTTAGTTTCAGCACTTGCAATTCACAACTGTTTAACTTAATCTCAAACACATTTGGGATAGTTTACTTATGTAGTTCACAGCCAGCATTGATGAAAAATTCACATGTACTCAAAAAAGCATCTGGAATGTAGCATTTCTGACACAGGATTAGAGCTATTTCACACATATTTGCGTAATATTAATACTAGCTACATCCCACTGGATTTTTTCTCACCCAAAGAAAAACTCTTTTAAAAAAGGTGACTTTGAAATAATAAGACTCTGTGACTGAGAATATGCTCAGGTCATACCAGCATCATCCGACAGAGTGAGCGAACGTTTGGGCTTTCTTCCTCTCCGACGAGCACTTGCTATTGTTTTTTCTTCACTGTCATCCTAGAAGGGGTAAAATTAAAGTTGAAAGTGTGGTCAACAGTATTTATTAATTTTATTTCTAAAGGATAGATCTTGATCAGAAAACTAACACTTACAGTGCTTGTACTTCTTTCTAGGTTAGCTGTTTCTTTACTGGACTCATCTTTAAGAAAAGGAAAATCTTTGCGTGAATACTTATTACTATAAAATTAGATTCAATAGTCAGTCTGCTTATTGACTGTTAAGGAACCAGTGCTGATTAATAATTTTTATATATAATTTATCACTATCTTGTATCAGTCAAGTGAAGACAAAATGAAAACATGTAGCAGGCAGCATATCAGAATGCAAGTTAAGAGACTGGTGTTCTCATTTCAGATTTGCAACAAATAAGCTTTGTGATCTGGGTAAATTATTTGAAATCCTTGAGCCTCTGTTGTATCTTCATCTGTAAGACAGGGAACTTTCTGGTTCCTTTCAGTCAAATGTTCCCAACCCAGAATGGAAAGGGGAGGTGGGCATGTAGGGAGCCCCCACAAACACAGCAGGGACTGCAGGACGTAATAACCCCAGGCTGAGTAGGTATCCCTTATCTAAAATACTTGGGACCAGAAAATCTATTTCATAATGTTGAATATTTGCATATATGAGGTATCTTGGGGATATGAAATTCATTTACATTTCAAATATTCTTTATGCATATAGGCTGAGGCAATTTTATGCAATTTTTAAGTGCACCTGTGTTTGGACTGCAGATGAAGCCCCATCATGAAATTCATGTGGAATTTTCCACTTGTGGTATCATGTTGGTACTTGAGAAGTTTTGGGTTTTAGAGCATTTCAGATTTTGGATTAAGGTGGTTTGACCTATACTTCTTTCAAATCTCAATGCTGTTCCATTAAGTATTATAGTTTGGAAAAACCAGAGGTAACTTGATTTCCACACTTTGTTCACACTCACACAACTAATAAACTGACAGTTCAAGTCTTTTGACTCCAAATACATCATGGCAATTAAAAAAATACCTGCTATAGGCCAGTTTATAGGTCATGTATTACTATTCATTATGTATTTTTTTACTACAGATGCTTACAATTTTCCAAGAATGAATCTTGGTAAGAAAAACAAAGATTAATCTATGTAATCTTTGAAGCTAAAATTATGGGCATGTTTGACAGACACTCAATCTCAACAGTAATTCTTATTAATGACAAAAACTATAGGTAGTAGTTGCCCTTTCCTGCAAGTTCAATATGTGAATGAGGATGGAGAAGTTAACCCAATGAAAAGATCAGCAAAAAGTCTGATTACACTTCCAATCATCACGATTCAGAAAAACACTGTCAGATAACCCCATAATATAATCACAGAGCTTACACTGGAATGTAAAAAAGCACACAAATTATGAAGATTTTTTGTATGGTTTTAAACATTTTAAAAGTCTTAATAAAAACCAAACTTAACCAGAATTCTCCCTCCTTTAAAAAAATAAACATTAATTTATCAAGAGACAAGAAAAACTGAAGTATAATCAGAAGTTCACACATAGTTATATGAAGAAGCAATTTTTTTACGCTATTACATATACATTTTTTGCTTTACCTAGCTGAGAGATTATGTACTTTCCCAAGTTCACTCTGTTATTTATTTGATGAAAATAGCAGTCACATTCATCCTTTGTGCTTTTGTTTGGTAAGTGGGATCCACCCCAGAGGCCTTTCACCATTGAGTTAACTTCTCCAGTCCTTTCAATTTACCACTGAGTTACATCTCCAGCCCGTTTTAGGGAATAAGTTGCCCAGGCTGATCTTGAACTTGTGATCCTCCTGCCTCAGCATCCTGAGTAGCTGAGATTCCAGGTGTGTACCACTGTGCTTAGCTTCCCTTTTGCTTTAGTCAACCCTTTAAAGCCCACAAATTGATCGTGTTTTTATGTTAAAAATTTCAAACCATGAAACGAATATATATACACTGCAAAATATCTGGAAACTGCTGCAACACCTACATCTTAAGCAATGAGCCCACTATCCTGCTGCCCAGAGCTAATCATTATCAACATCCTGCAGTACTCTTTTCCTACTTGGAATGATGGCAAAACACTTGATGGAAAAACTCTTGAGTTCTGGGCTATATAAATTAATTGCACACCTACTTTTAAAATTGTTATTCCTCTGAGAACAACGTGCTCTTGAGCTGAATTTGTGTATTCTTGATGACAGTGCCCAATAACAGGGGGATCTATTTCTTTCTTAAGATGCTTTGAAACTTTTTTTTTTTGGTTTTTCTCCGGTACCAGGAACCAAACTCACGACCTTGCACTTGCCAGGCAGGCGCTTTGCCGCTGAGCTAAATCCCCAGGCCCCCCTTAAGATGCTTTGGACACTGCAGTACGAGTTACTTCTACAGAAGGAGTGTTACTGTTTTGGTTTTGCTATCTCTACCCTCTATGAAGGTGTCCCAGGCCTCTCAAACCAAAAAAATGTCAGATTATAGAAAAAGAAAAAAGAGTCAGTCATGGCTACAAGGACAACTGTTTTTATGAAGGAGCCCCCTCACTTCACTGAAAAACAGAATGAAAGCTGAAAACCTTCCCTAAGAGCCAGCCTCCCTGGCTCACTCAGGGAAATAATTACTTATAAAGTCAGTTTGAAAATTTCTTGCGTGAACAAAGCACACCCAGTTTCTTAGGCCATGTACAGAGAAACGGTCTAGATACATACCTGCCTGTGTTACTTTCAATTTGCTGCTACTAGGTGGAGACTGCTCTACCTAATTTCAAACAAACAGAACACTGAAATCAGCAGGTTTTTGTTACCACACAGTAAAGTAAAATATTTATTAGGCCTCTATGTATTAGTAGACAGAATGTTTGGACCCTATTTTCTGCAGCTGGCTAAGTATACTTAGCAAATACAGATGCCTTATGCTTATGAACACATCATCTTTGCCACAAGCCTCTCCCCAACACCAGCTGTGACACTGGAGGATGAGCACTGAAGACAAGCCGTGAGCCCGTGACTGCCGACATTCCCCAAAGCCACGATCTGCTCACATGCTGGTCAGCAGGCTCACAGCAGGTTCGCTGGCTGTCTCATTATAGTTCTACAACAGTGGTACTTGTAGGTGTCTTTGTACCACTTTACAGCCAAGGAAACGGAGTCTCACACAACTGGTCCCAAGTCATGGATTTGAAAGTAAGTAGCAAAGCTTTGAATCCAGGTAATTTTATTAGGTCAGTGGACCCACATCTGTCCTCCTTATAATGCTGTCACTGAAATGCAGGCAGTGGAATCCTGACCCAGTGATTTTGCTGGGTATATTCTTTAGTGCCAAAGTTAAAGAATGTTAAAAAAAGAAGAAACATCACAGAGAATTGTCCTGAACTGCAGTGAGTCCACATTTTAGTATAAAAAAAGTATCATAGAAAGTAATGGTAAGACACTTCAGAAATCTCCACAAAAAGCCACTATCTCAAAATCATGTAAGAGCAAATTTCTGTATTTTAATTAAGGTTAACCTTAATAAGGCAAGTTATTAAGGCAAGTCTGTTTATACAAAAATATTACTGATCACAGTATTATTTGAATGGTTACCCCATGATTTATTTAATAAAATCTTTTAAAGCTTTCAAATACTTAAAGTAGTTCGAATACTACACATTACAGTACTATTCACTTTTCAGGAAAAGAACAAGTGTTTAAAGAGTTCCTTCTCATCTTCTGCAAATACTTACAGAGATAATGCCAGTGTCTGTTTTGGAATCGTCCTCTAAAAAAAACAAACAAAAAACTCACTTAGAATGATCATTTCAAGAATTTCTAGTATATGAACTGAAAACATACCAAATACCTACTTGTTTTTAACGTTATTTCCACAGGGTATTTACGAGGTCTTCCTCTTTTCCTTTTAATAATTATTGGTTGATCTTCCTATGAGGGAAATGAAAAACAAAACCAGCAATTAAAGAATAACTCTGTCTTCTATTATACAAATAGTTTGTTTTCTGAAAGCGAGATTTAAGAGTTCCCTCCCACAAGGGTTCAAATCCTAGCTTTAAGAAATGAGTGACACTGGTGCAGTGTTTTTTTCTTCCTTTTGTTGCGGTCCCCCCGGCTCCCCCCAGAAACACTGGTAGCGCTCACAGGGACACACGCGGTGGAGAGGACGGAGGTGACAAGGTAGTCGAAGGGAGTGCTCTGTGAGTGTTGCTTCTTACTTTGTAGGAACTGTGTATGCCCATCTAAAATGAGATTTAGCTCAAGTTACTTGTGATCAATGTTATTTTGTACAAAAAATAAAGGGATCCACTGAGTCTCATACGGAAGTTTGAAAAAACAAAGAACCATTACAGGACTGACAAACTCCGCGATGGTCATGTCCCTGGTCTTAAGGGGCCCGGACCCAGGCCACTTCCACTCTCCTCCCCATGGGCTCCCTGCAAACCCGAATGGGCCTGGAGCCGGCGGGGTCCACCTGCAGCCTCCCTGGAACCCGTGACCCTGCCTTGCAAAACTGGGTCTTCTCAGGCTCTCCCGCTGCTGCTCCCGTTTCCGTCTGGCAGGACACCGCGTCCCTGGCAGCCTCCTGCCTCTCCCTTGCCCAGCTAGCTGGCGGGCAGGGCTCAGGGGCAGGGTGAGGAGCCTGACGCTGCCACCGGGGGAGTGCTGGGCTACCCTTATGTGGTCATGATATAAGTAGGTCTCACAGAAAGGTTTTGATGAAACCAAATGAACAAAATTAATCATAATGACATTGATAAAATGCACTGTATGAAATGGGGCCCTACTGCACTTAGAAAAAGTACTTAAATAATTCTGAGGGAAGCACAGAAAGCAGCTCTCACCTCTTGTGACTTGATGCCATCATCTTCATTCTGCTCCGTCTTTTCACCAGCAGCCTCACTGCTGCTCAACTCATCTGCAGAAAAGGGAGCGCTCAGTGCATCCTAGTGACCACGGTCAGCCTTCAGCACAGTCCAGGGCTACGACCCAGGCCAGCTGCAGTCACAATCACGCACGCACGCACAGCATTTCACTGACACGCGTCCACCACCCAAGTCAGCAAGCATGAGTTTGCTCCCGAGGTGGAGCAGGGTCCAAATCAAAGAGCACGCCCAAACCTTCTGTGTCAGACACGGAAATCAGATGGACGAAACAGGCGCTTCAGCCTGGGGACTCAGCTTGGGACATGCTGCCTGCTCTGAAGGCTTAGTGTCGCAATTTACCTAAAGAGACATTTTACTCACCCCTTTCCTCCACAGCCCTTGAAGCAGTGCTGCTCGTCTCAGAATTTGTTTTAGACAATTCTTCCAAATCTCCGGGGTTCTCTTCCTATAAAGAAGTTGAACAGGAGAAGAGCTGTTTTCATTTAACTTAAGTCTGCTTCCATTCACCCTCTGCAAAGTTTTCCTTTCTACTTCAAAAACAATTTCCTAGCTGTCTTTTAGAATAACCTGTTGGAAAAGATTTTGTAAAAAGTGAAATATTACCACTGTTCAAGAACCTATAAAATAGATAAAAACCCTGAAGGCAGAAAAGCCTGACATCAGGTTCAACTATAAAATGGCATGGCTATAATTGTTTTTCCTACAAAATTGGGGTTTAGGTCTCAGAAGTGAAAGGGTATCCACAGAGAGGTATCAGCAGGATATAGGAAACCTACGTCTAGAACAAGAGGGCAATGAGAGAAATAACGTTCTGTGAGCTGTGTGCCTGAGCCCTGAGTCTTACAAAAATAGGATCATGAGAAAAGGCAACAGGTGAGGCTGATCCTGGAAGCGCCTATATTTTAGGAGTGGGAGGTAAGCAAGAAAGAAGGAAGGTACAGTATTAATATTTTACGGTAATGTGTATCACTGTATTTCAATATTTTGGTGCAGATATATCTGGATTAAAATCGTACTATGTTTTGGAATAAACCATCTAGAACCTTAAGAAATCAACAATACTATTAAACAAAAACCTAAGCAACCATTATATCTACTAAGCGGTGATATTAGTACAATCTTTTAGTTTAAGAAACATAAAAGTACATTTTGGTGGGGGTGGCACTAAAAATCTGCCTTTTATAATAAAAAATGTTCCTTGTTTTGGTATACCCAAAGTAAAAGGGATACTAGATCAAAAACAATATTACAGTAAGTATTCACAGTGATGGAATTAGGTTACCCCCACAGCTTAATATGTAGAAAAAGTACCTTTGTGTCTTCAGGCTCAGTTTCAGAGCACTGTCTCTGCGCTGTTTCTATTCTGGAATCCAGGACATCTGGATTATCATCTGTAAATCAATTTGGACAGAATCACAAAACAATAAAAGCTAAATGAAAAATGAAATGCACTGTTCTATTTTAAGACAGTTTGAGGCTTCTTTTTTAGTCCTGCAATAAAGTAAAGTCAAAGTTATTTTAAAAGTATTTAAAATGTCCTATGATTTGGGCAACAAACTTGGGCCTTTGGCTTGGGCAAAGTAAAAAAAAATACAACATTAAAAAATCCCCAAGTGTTAACACGATACCAACAAGGCAGGGCTTGGTGACAGACTCATTTCCTGAGTAAGGGATCAGCGAGAAGGCAGAGCTTGGTTGGTACTGAGACTGCAGGCTTTGGAATCAGATTTGCTTGGTGGAAGTAAAGTCGTAATCACTCAGAACCTTAAATTCTCTACTTAATTAAATGGCAGTAACACCTTATTTATAGGATTACTGCAAAGATAAACTGGCAATGTATGGAATGTATCATGGGTATTACTCTAATAGAATACAAACAATAAATTACTACAAAGTAATCTTATGCTCTTAACTAAAATTAAGAGGAAATATTTAGGAACCCATTCTTTGCTATATATTAACTCAACAAGTATTAATTTCTACTTTGTGTCAGGTAGAAAGTACCCTACTCTGTTCACTAATGGTAGCTACTGAAATTTAAAATTAAAAACAATTAAAATTTTATTCTTTCATTCATACTAATAACATTCAAGTGCTCAGTTGAAATACCCAGTTCATCTTCTGAGGAAGGGGAGTGCTTCTTTGCCATTCTTTTAGGGATATGCCTCTGTTCTTCTTCAACCTGGAATTAAGAATAACCACATTAAAGGCGTCCGAATCTACACCAAGGTGGCATATAACATCTAAACGTAAAACTCTTTGAAATAAACTGTTACATAAATTAAAAAAAATCTCAAATAACATTGTCTACATCCAGACTTAGATAAGACTAATTTTCTAAACTTGAGTTTTTTTCTGGATTGAATGTAAATCCTTACAAAAACCCAAATCTGTATCTAGTTACATACTGCATTTCCTGGTTTTTTTTTTGGTTTTGGTTTTTTTCCGGTAACAGGAATCAAACTCACGACCTCGTGCTTGCCAGGCAAGTGCTGTGCCGCTCAGCTAAATCCCCAGCCCCCTACATACTGCATTTCAACAATTCTGAAATATATGCTTAAAAAATTTTTTTTCCCCTCATCTCTGAAGTCAGGTTGGGCCTTACATTGACGGCATATTATAATTAGTAGAGTTTTTCTGCTCTTTTAGTGGCCCACTAAAAGTGGGCTTCTTATACTTATTGAGAAATAGGTACATGAAAACACATTTTAGACATACAATGTAAACATTTCCAAATAATCTTGGGACCTGCCAAATTACCTAAATATTACCACAGCATAAGCAAGTAAAAGTGCAGAACTCTTAACACATCCACTGAATACTTCATTTATATAAAAAGATAAAGCCTTTTTGAAGCTTCTTTTTGTGTTCAGCTGAAAACACTACTTATGAAACATGAAATGCTTGAGCTTATTATGAAAACATACCTCTTTAGGGCTTGCTTCAATACTGTGACTTCTTATAGTTTCCGAGTTGCCATTTCTATCACTGGATATCTCTGAGTAGCAAATTTAACAAAGAAAACATGTCTTAAAATACTGTTTTTTTTAGTAGTGGAAATCAAACTCAGGACCTTGCACTTACCAGACAGGTGCTATGCTGCTGAGCTATATCCTCAGCTCTTAAATACTCTTAAAATGTTTTTTTATTCTTCTTCTTATTATTATTATTAGTTTTTAGTTGTGTGTGTGGGAAAAAGCGGATGTAGTAGTTCTACCGAGTACCAGTTATGTATGAGGCGCTGCGGCACAGTTAACAAATGATTTTGGATGGGATCTTTCCACCAATGCTGTCAGGTAAGTTCTAGTTTTTGCTATTGGTAGACGTGAGTAAATGGGATTCAATATGAGGAGTAATGTGTCCAGGACTACACACTGGATTTTACACTCAGACTTTGAGGCCACTCCCTTGAGCTTGTGTAGCATCCCTATATTAAGAAATATCTGAGGAAAGCAAATACAAGAAGAAAATAAAGTACTTCTACTCGTGATAAAAAATAAAGAAATTTGTGAGGAAAATGAAGACGTACTGTTTTGCAGTCATCAGACCAGTGAATGTTCAGCAATCTAAAATACCAAGTATAGAAGAGTGACAACTGCCACTTGGAGACAACTGGACACATCCAGGAACACTGGAGAGCTGCCTGTAACTCAGCAATTCCACCCTAGAGATCCAGCTACACTGTACATGATCTGTGAGACAGGTACAGGAGCATGCAAAGAAACACTCTTTGTAATTAGGAAAAATTGAAAAACACCTAAATAGCCACCAAAAAAATCAAGGAAAAAAGTAACTGATGTATTTACATAATGGAATACTAACTAGCCATTATTATTATGACTGTATGGTGCTGGGATCAAACCCAGGGTCTTAGGCATGCTGGACAAGTGCTCCACCACTAAGTTACACGCCCAGCCCCAAACTAGCAATTAAGAGTTACACAAATCAATCAGACAAAATCTAAGAATATTCCTCATGAGCAACTACAGTGGAGATATTTTATATAATGTGGTACTGTCCACCTAAACAAGGCAATATATGCTACATATTGTTTATGAACCTAGCAATTGTATCTACTGACTGCAGAATTCCCTTTGGAGTATGGTGAAAGGGAAAGAGATTGAGATTGGGAAGGGGTATTATGCAATCCGAGTATATCTGCAACATTTTCTGTGTGAATCAATATGCTGAACTTTAAGATATGATTAAATTAGGCAATGGGTACATGAGTTGATAATTACCACTATTCTACTTTTGTTTTAAACATGATCTATTATAATAGGTGTATGATGAATGGAGAATCAACAAAATCATTAGGAACCAGCAAAATCCTACATTCTGGCTAGAGTTGGTGGCCCATACAGGCTGCACAGAATAAGACCTCACCCCTGGGAGAAGACCCACAAAAGGAGATGACCTTGATCTGCTACCATATTGAACCTACCTGTCAGAAGTGAACAAATATTCAGTTGAGTATTAGCACAGAATTTCTAGACTGACGGTACAAGCCACAGGGGACTATGCATTTTGTACTCACATGGGACTGCTGAGTCCACTGTGACACTCCTGGAGAAGTTCTAGCACCTATTTCAAGCAAGGTGCCATTTTTCAGCTGGAGAGCTCGGAACAAGTCATCTGATCTCTACAAACCTCACTTTCCTCAACTATAGATGTGATGCTTAACACTTCACTAGATTGTATGAATTAGTTGAGAGATCTATGAAATAATTAACACAGACGGCCTTCAAAAAATGTTAATTAATATTAAAATTATTACTAAGGAATTCATTAACTTACCTCCTTTGTTGCAAGATTTATTAGGAATTTCTTCATCTGTTTGTGAGCCAGAGTTCTCAACCTAAATATACAATATAAAGAGTAACTTATGGATTAAGTTTCTCACAGAAACTTAAAGGTGGAGGGGGGAGGGAAACACTGCCTTTGTGAAAAAATTTCAGCGTAATCCCTCAATGCTTATTCTTATCTTTAAAACGGAGATAACAGATTTCTTACTTGCAAAAAGTAAGAAATATGAGGCACATTTTCTGATTTTTGCGAATTCTTTTCTGATCCAAAGAATTCTCATGATTTTCTTTCTTCCAAAACTCTTCAAGGATTTTGTCATAAGACTACCTGTCTGCAACAGGGCGTGGAGGTGCATGCCTGTCATTCCAGCACTCAGGAGGCTGAGGCAGGAGGATTGTTGCAAATTCGAGACCAGCCTGGGCTACAAAGTGAGCTCAAGGCCGGCCTGAACTGCATAGTGAGACCCTGTCTCCGAAAGGCAAAACAAAACAAAACAAGACTACTTGTCTGGCAAATTATGTCTACCGCTGTTTTATTTATTTTAAATGGAAGGGGAACAGTTTAAAATACCCTACAGAACTCTAAGTCCCAGCTGCAGAACTCAGTGCCTGTTTGCGGATCTGCCCTTGAGGTAAGTGGCTGGTGGCAATGCAGGGTGAGACAGGAGCGAACACATGCTGGCTGACAGCAAAGACTGCAGCCCATCTACACCTCTGTAACTCCCACATAGCAGACCTGAACCATGCCAGGCGGGGCTTTTCTCTCCCTTCGTCCCCAGCACAAAGCATACATATAAGCTTCAAGCTATAAAACAGTGGTTCAGTGGTGAGGTTGCCATTAGGATCTCACAGTGGTGATAGTCACCAAAGATCTCCCAGCTCTAAGGGCACTGAAGAGAATGTGGCTGTCTGTGATTTGCAACGGTTTTACAAAGTGTTCACCCTTCAGCCGGGGGTGGTGGTGCATGCCTGTAATCCTAGCACTCGAGAGGCTGAGGCAGAAGGATCCTTGCAAGTTCGAGACTAACCTGGGCTACAAAGTGAGCTCAAGGCCAGCCTGGACTGCATAGGCAGACCCTGTGTCAAAAAAAAAGACCATATGGGAAAAGAGAAGGGAAAGAAGGAGAAAGTTTGTATATATGTATATGCAGGATAGTTAACACGGGTGTTCTACTGTCCTGTATTTCCTTGCTGAAAGAAACTGTCAGTGAGGCATTGGTTGATTAGCTTTGTATGTCTATATGTGTTTTCATGAGAAACTACATTGAAGATATCAATATGTAATACAATAAGCATTGTTAATTCCCTACCACTCTGTTTGTAACTCTGTAATGTCTGTACTGATCCTTTGCTATTTTGTAAAACGTTGTCGATCTGTTAGTATTTTCCTCCTTTTATTTCTAAAAAAAAAAAAGACCAAAAAAAAACAAAAAAAAAAGGTTCAACCCTGGTCCTATGTTAGGTTCCCCATAAATACAGTCAGTTAAGGAAAAGGAAAAAAAAAAAAAAAGAAGAAAATCCAGTTTTTTCAGCATGGAAAGGATTATGAGAACTACATGTTGGGAAGTTATGTATATATAGTAGTTATGGTTCAGTGTCTTTAGACAAGCTTTACAAAGCATAAAGTGAACTTTAACTTTCAAACTATTTTGTCTACAGCACCAGGACAATTTCAGACATTAGAATCCACTTTTTAATTCTATTATAATAATAAAACCAGACAGTCCAGAGTTCATCAGTAAGACAGTAGATATGGAGAAAGGCAAGTAAACAGTGCTGCCACTGTTTGGAGGGAAGGAGGAGCACACACACCAACCACCTTCTGATTCCTAATGGGATGCAGGCAGCCTCTGTACTGCATGTCTCCTCCCCTCCAACAAAACTTTATCGACACCACCCAAATCGCAGCCAGGACAGTTACTTACATTTAGGGATTCATTCAGCAATGGAGGTTTTCTCTGTAGTTCAGCTGTTCAAAACCAAAATCAGACATAAGGAAACAATATTGGTTTTCGATTACACAGAAAACAATGCAAAGACTTTTAGGGTAGTTAAATAAGATCATGTCACTAAGTGGGCCTTCGTGAATCATAAAACTCTGGCCAATTATTTCTTACAATCTGTGTTCCATCTACTACCAGAAAAACAATGGAAATGAACGTTGCCTGCATTTGTGTAATAATGGCAGTGGTCCATTAAGTTGCTACAGTGATTTAACTTTTTTGGTGATCTGGAGTTTAGAGTAATGCGGAAGACCTTAATGTAACTGTTAAGCTGCAGTGTAACCCTGGTTCATTTAAAAATAATGCCATCAAATGAAAAGTTAGATCCTATCCCCTCAAACAGCAATAGTCTGTTTATAGTCCCTGGAAACTTGAAGTACAAAGTCTACTGCTTCTACTCAACAGTGACAGAACACACATATTTCTTTTAAACAACTTCCTTTTACGTAAATAGATCTCTTATTGAATTGTACCTAAACACACCAAACCAGCCTAAAATATAACAGGGGAACAAAGGACTTTAGAATTCAAAAATGTTACCTCCTTGACAATTAACAAGTGAGATGTTATTTGAACTGTGAAAAACATGCCCCATGGTACACTTTAACTAATGTATCTTAGACTGCTTAGTCATCCTGGGCATGAATGACTTAGCGGGTGTTGGTGTGATCTTCCGAGACTGGCTGGTATCTCTACTGAGTGGTACACTGTTTACAAGGCTCCTGAGGCCACTTCAGCTAATTTTTTCTAAGAAGGTCCCCAACTGCTGCTGCTCCCACCTCCCCATGTAGTGGTTGTGGGAGTGTTATACATGAATTAGTTCTCTGATCTAAATGTTTCCACATCTACTGCCCCTTACACATCTGCTCGCACAATTCAGGCAATGACTTCTTTTCATCAATCACTGCAATCTTGATTTCCCCAGTTCTTACAAGTGCCTGGCTTGTTCTGTCATGGGAATAATTTAAAGATCCGAGCTGAGTACAGCAGACAATACAGCTGCGACCCCAGAACCTTCCCCCAGAGCCTAGACTTTGGTCCAGGACAACATGTTCTAAAAACAAAGCACCTGCCTTAATTTCAGTCAACCAGCAAGCTACATTTCTCCAGCCGAAGAACTAGTTTAGGGCAGACACACACACGAGCTCTAATTCAGAGTAAGTCTTAGGATTTGGGCCACAAAGAAGACAAAGCTATCTTCCTAGAGGCATGAATGAGAGAGAAAGTAATGACTTCTGTGGAAGGATGAGACAAGAAACTAAGTTCCTACCAGATGTGCCGGTGGGGATACCAGGTTGCTCTTGGATTATCATTTGTCTTTTTGGTTTTGTGAGCTAATAAATTATTTTTAAGTAATATGCATTTGTAGGGATTTGGTCATTTATTACCAAATCACTTTGACTGCTACAGCTGACATGCAGAGAAATTCAACACTGTTTAAAAGAAAGGAGATCTGGTTTAAGTTTGGTCATATGTTCTTTAAGTGTTTAGTCCTGCTTTTCTTTCTCTTTCCTTTGGGGCTGAGGGTTGAACCAGGGCCTTTGCACAGAATGCAGACAATCCACCACTGGGCTAGTTCTCCCAGCAGAACTTTTTCCTTCAATATATGAATCAGAAGAAAATATGTCACAATGATTAAAGTACAAACGAGAAATCATTCTCGATTGTCACAATTCCTCTAGCTCCCCTGCAAGCTCCTGAGGCTTCCACCAAGTGATCCACAAGGGCTCCACCAGTGTCACATTATTGCTAAGACGTTATCTGGTTTATGAACTTAAGAGCGCACAGTGGGGTTTTCCAGAGGCACGAGATGCATCCACAATAACTGAACAGTTTACTAAATTATAACCATAAATCTGTGAGGGACGTTCTTCTCATACTTCCATCAGAAAAGCACAATGACAGAGTAAGTGTGGAAACGGATACACAAGAAATCAGTTGTTTTCTATTAGGCCTGACTTACACAATGTTTTTCTCACTAAATTTTGTTCTTTCGGGAAATCTAGTTATTTTCCAATTAAAAAGGGTTAAATTATACTGAGTTAGTTATACTGAGTTAATACTTGTCAGTCAGTTTTAATACCTTCTTTGGTAAATGTCAACAGGTATAATTCACACAGTGAAAGCTCTCTGGGGGCTTCAGTGCTTTTCAGAGTGTAAAGTGGTCCGGAACCACAACGCAGAGAGCTGCCAGCCTGCTCCTTTCTGACGCTGAGGCTCTGCTGCACACGCACCCTGGCAGCTGCCAACGGACAGTGCTCCCTAGAGCCCGAGAAGAGGCCATGTGGGCTGAGACGAGCTCTAGTGCTGGCACTGGGCAAAGCAGAGTTCCCAGGCAGAGCCCGCGGGGTGACAGGCACAGTGGGAGCTGCAGGCCACCCTCTCCAAACGTGCTGCAAAGGCCCCGGATGGGCAGGACAGGAAGGGCATGGAAAGACATTTGCGACAGCAAGTATTTGCTCTGCTTTCCTTTTTCTAAATACTTTTTGTTACTTAGAGATATCAAATTCAAGTAATTACCTTATAGCGTATATAACTGACATCTAACGGAAGCTAAAAATGGCATTTAATATAAGCTAACAATGAGAGTAAAGAATTCCCTTTAATCTACCTAAAAAAGTGAGCAGCTAGCCAGGCACAGCAGTGCACACCTGTAATCTCAGCTACCAAGAAAACTAAGGCAAGAGAGTAACAAGTACGAGGCCAGCCTGGGCAACTCAGTGACAATTTGTCTCAAAACATTTTTGAAAGGATTGAGCGTAGCTCACTGGGAGAGTGCTTGCCCAACATGCACAAGGCCCTAGGTTCAATCCAATCCACAATGTAGGAAAAAAGTGAGATAAAAATTCATAGTCTGTGTTTGACAAATCAGGTATTGGTTTTTATGTTTTTACTTTTTATTTATTTATTTATTTATTTTTGGTTTTTCTCCGGTACCGGGAACCAAATTCACGACCTTGCGCTTGCCAGGCAGGCGCTTTTGCCGCTGAGCTAAATCCCCAGCCCCTAGGTATTGGTTTTAAGCTGCAACGAAAGGTTAAAACATATGCAACACCAAAACGTGAACGAGCATTGAAAGGAGCTTACCCATTCCACTTGGCTTTCCCTCACACTCACTTTCTCGTACTGCGAGCATTTCATGATTTTTTTCTTCCTCTGAAGGCACGAATGTCTAAAAATTCCAAAGCACCATAAAAATAAGTTAATTACGGTTTTTACAACAAGGAGGCAAGACTAGCCACAAGTTGAATTAGAAAAACAACTCCAGCATCTTGAAATAATATACAAATCTTCTTTCAAGCTCATATAAAACTGAAAAATGAAGACATTACCCTTTAAAAACAAAACAAATCTAAAAAAGAAAGCGCAACCCAATCTTATGTTTCATCCTTCAGTGGTTTTCATATGACTTTAAAAGTAAATAGCATGATACATCGCCCTTCCTCTAGGCCCTGTTCCGCCAGGCTCTATCTCACCACCGGGCCCTGTGAGTGGCTCGAGGCTCGGGGGCACATTCCACCCTTGAGTCCAGGACACACACCCTCTTGCCTGGCTGGTTTTCTTGCCTTTTGCTTCTGATAGGCTCTCACTCTTTCGGAATCCCACTCAAGTGCTCCTGTGCAAGCCCTCCTGTCTTTCCACCACCACTCTCTTTGGGCAAGCTGTGCCACCTTCTGCATTGCTCACGACCCCCTGGTGCACTGAAACCTTGTGTTCTTGTCAGCCACATTCAACTTTAAGCAGAGCAATGCCAGGACCTAATTTCTGTTTTTGAAGACACCCTGAACGGCTGTGAACCACAGACTAGGAGGGGATGGAAACTGTGACAGGAGCTACTGAAGTATGGCTTCAACCAAGATGGTGGTTATAAAAATGAATGAGCTCCTGTTGTACTTTGAGAACGGAATCTGTAAGAATCAGCAACGGATCAAACATAGGTGACACCCATGTTCAGGAATGGAAGTGATGGCCCTATTTACTGAGATTATTGAGGTTCTCAGCTTTCCCTCCCCACAGGATGTGGCAATAACAGTACTATCAGAAGTACAATGAAAACAGGAGCAGTACACTGTGTATGTGTGTGTGCCTGTCTGTCTCTCAGTCATGAAATGGTATACACCCACTGGCAGTTCAGCATAACCGAATTATCAACCATACCTTGGTTTTCAAGTTGGCTGTCAGTTCTGAATCTTCTGAAACCTCTGGAGACTTCGCATTGCCTAGTGAAATTCAAACCATTACAATATGAAGGATAATTTCAGAATTTAACTGTAAAATACATTCTAAGTCAAAAAGAAACAGAATGTTGTTATCTGGCAGACCACTCTACCTTTCCTTGCTTGTTCATTTTACTATAAAGAACAATAAAAAGGACCATGTTGTGCGAAAGAGATCTGGATACAAGGCAGGAGGCATTTACTCATTTTGGGGGAGTGAAATTGTTTCTTGTTTGCACAGCAAGATGACTGCACAGAAAAGACATAATTAGGGAGGCATCTTATTCCCTGGTAGTATTCTGCAGTCATTTCCATCAGGTTTGTCCCTAAAACAATATTCTGAGTCACTGAGGCACATTCTCAATAAAGAAGGTGATTTATGAACTGATTCACTTTACTTGTTTCATGCTGACAAAGCAAAATCAAATATAAAGTTAAAAAATTGAGAGGCAGGCAAAAGGTCAATGGGATTTTCTCAAGCGGAGACTCGGCTTTACCCCGGTCCTGCTTCTTTCCTTCTCTCTTGTGCCTCTGCAGCAGCGGTTTCTGCTGTTTCCCTCGCCTACCCCACATGTAAGGCACCAAAGTGAAGCCTTCCTTCATCTAAGAGCAGGCAGGATTTCCCCTGTTAAAAGCCCTTCTATTTTTGCTCTTCCGGGGAAAAGCGGAGGGGGAGTAACAGACTGCAGCAGTGACTGTGTCATAAAACTTTCGGTGCATTCAACTTTCGCTCGGCTAAATTCAAAGGAAAATTTTTAAGTTACTCATTCCATTCCTTAGAACATTTCTCAATGTCTCCTTTTTCAGTCCCTGTAATGAACAGGACTAAACCTGCTGGCCTCAACTTCCGGAGTCTAGGTTAGACAATAACTAAGGTCAGTTCGAGTCTAAAAGCCCAAGACACTACAGCTGGAGTGGAAAAGAAGTGAACACTCCTGACCCCTTCACGTCTAGCCCATGTGCGTCCTTTCAGTTCCCATCCCATTCTATGCACTGGTCACACTACAGTGTCCCTACAACTTGCGTGCAGTACACAACTATTTCTAAAAGACTGGCATTCGATGGAATCTGAATTTGTCAGGAGGGAATTCCTATCTCTTTCAAACATACTCTAAACCAGAAATAAACTCAATCTACTTGAACAGTAAACTCCGTTAAAAAAACAAATTAGGGACTGCAGGTGTAAGTCAGCCGCAGAGCACCTGCCTAACACGTACGAAGCTCTAGGTTTGATCCCAGCACGCACAAAGGAACCCCATGTGCACCCTGACTAGAAGTAGCAAGCTGACTGAACTTACACCTATTACAAAATGTACAATAAACTGAATAAACTTTGGAGTGACTTTTGCTTTCATAGTATTACCCCCCCAATTCTCTCCATTTTCTACAACAGAAAAAAGGCTCCCACTTTTTCTAGGAGGCCCTCAAATGCTGTACACGTTATTTAAATTTTCTGACCCTATTTTCTCCTTGAGAAAATGAGAGTTATTGAGAGCGTGCTCATCTCCTACAGCTGCAGTGAGTACTCTTCCTTTTGACTGACAGGACACCTGAGGACCAGAGGTGGGGATGAGCTTGTGCAGCCTCGGGTTTGACCCCCCGAAATACCACCACCACACAGTGCAGAACTCTCTGCGGTAAGTAGCGCACAGCTGGCTTACCACGTCTCAGCCTTCTCTTCTTCTCTGACACGAGTGAAACAAATCTAAAGGTTTAAATGTAAGTCTTTTTTGGAGAAGCTCAACTGTTATGGTTTATCAGTAACGGGGTGGTTCAGTGGTAGAATCCTCAACTGTTACAGTTGCTATCTTGATGTCCCTCTGAAGCCTCATGCCATCCTGAGCAGTACCTTCGGAAGATGACTGGATTCGGGGGCACTGTAGCTGACCTGCCGGTAGGAGGGGCGCCCGGCCGGAAGAGGCGTCACTGCGGGTGTGATCAGGAAGGCTGCTTCCTGTCCCTGCTCCTCCCTTCAACCCTGTGCTTCCTGGGGGCCATGCCTGAGCAGCTCTCCTCCGCCTCACTGCTCTGCCTTGCAGCCAGCCGGCTACGGGCTGAAATGTGAGCCCAAATAATCCTGCTCTTCCTTCACTTGCAGGTGTTAAATATTCCATCATGTTATATAAAAGAAAAAAATTATACTCCTCTATCATGAAACCAACAGCATCTATGAAGGTAGTTTTAAATAAACGCTCATACAATTGCCTTTGTAAAAAGCTAAAACGATTAGAAAGATTACCTGTGTCACAACAATTCTGTTCAGCACGCACAGTGTCCTCAAGGCCGCTTTCCCTGGGCAGTGATGTCCTCGTGCTGCGCCCCTGCTCCGTTTCCTCGGCACATGCGGCATCACCAGTCTGTTGGCTAGCGTGGTCACTCTCTGTAGTCACGTCTCCCTCGATTCCCACAGCCGACTGAGTGACCTGGTAGGCAGCTGGAAGGACCGCCGAGCGGGCAGGAGCAAGTTCTGACTCTTGGCCTGTAACAACTTTGGTGGCAGTGGTTTTCAAGTTGTCCTCAGGACCTTGCTGGTCAGAGGCAGGAGAGGAGTACTCTGCAGCAGTGTCTCTGACGGGTGGCATGTCATCAGCTTTTTTAGCACCGGTATTCACTGCTGCCAAAGAGTGAGTGCTCACAGAAAGGCCCTCATCTGGCTGCCCACACGTCTGCTCTGGTCTGTGCAGTTGGGCGGATGAGGCAGCACTCCTCTCTGTGCCCCTTCCTGCTGGACAATGGGCCATACCACTACCCTCTGCCATCTCGGCCTCTGGACGTTTGTCCTCAGTCTGAACGGTACTCAAAGACACACTTTTGTTTTCTGCATCTGGGAGATGCACGGAGCTCTGGTTTTGTCTTTCCGCTGAGAAAGGGTGCTGCCCAGGGCAGCCCTTGCCGTGCTTCTCCCCGTCATCAGCACACTCGGCACTTGGCTGGCCCGCTGAAGGTTCACAGACCGGCAGCCGGTCACGCCCTTCCTCAGTGCTCACTGCCAGCACGGCGCCCCCTTTCTGGTCTCCTGCCATCAGCCCAGGGCACTGACTGTTATTGTCAGCAATTAGGCTGGGCATGGGGATCTCACACTTGCTCCCTCTTGCCACCGACAGCTCATTGCCTCCTTCGGGGTTGTCTGCAGCAGGCTGAGTCTCTCTGCGCCGGTCCAGGCTGGCTCCCATCAGCACACACTCCGCTGTACTAGTGGAGATGATTGCAGCATCGCTGGAGTCTTCCATCCTTGCGGTGCTGGCTTGGCCTTCATCCAGGGGGACAGCACCAACCATGACTGCTTCACGCCCTTCAGAAGTGCTCGTGGAAATCATGGCAGTGTCATTTGTCTCTTCTGCTGCTGTGCCCAAAGGGCAGACGACCTCCTGAGGGACAGCACTGGACACAGAGCCCTCACAGTCTTCCACCGAGCTTGTTGAGATAACAGCACTTCCGTCTGTAACAGACTGTGTGTTTTCACTTACCCCAGAAACGGAGGCCTCGCAGTCTTCCGCTATGCTGGTGGAAATGAGAGCACATTCATCCTTCTCCTCCTTGCTGGTTGAGGCAAGAGGACTTTCAACTTCTGCAGGAGCACTAGGCATAGGCACCTCGAAGTCCTCAGTGCTTACCAAGACGGGGCCTTTAGCTCTTTCCTCAACCACTGCAACTGGCTGCTGACTTTCAGCACATGTGATGGTCACTGCACTGGAAATAGGCACTTCGCACTCTTCCCCTATGCTTGTGGAAATCATGGCACACTCGTCTTTTTCCTCGCATCTGCTAGCAGGAAGTTGGCTTGCATCACCTGAAACTGCACTGGGTGTGGGGACCTCAAATTCCTCCATGCTTACCCTGGTGCCTTCCATGTTTTCTTCCTTTCTCAGGGTACTTGAATGGCCTTCTCCTCCCTCTATAACCGTGCTCCCCTGCGGGGCGTGATCATTCGATGTACTGGTGGAAATCATCACACCTTTGCCTTGACTTTTCCCGTCAGGTAGGCTGTCTTGGTTGGAAATACCATTACTGACTGTCGTAGCCATGAGGTCATCACACTCTTCATGTTCTACAGAGGTGATGATGCCTTCATCTTCTTTTTCACTGGGTGATGTATGATCAACATCACATTCCAGGGCGGCACCAGATACAGGAACATCGTAACTGCCCTCCACCAGGCCAGTGGAAATGGTGGCATCTTCAGCCTTTTCCTTCCTAGTGAGTTGACTGCCACTTTGATCAGAAGCTGCGCTTGTCATGGGACCCTCACAACCCCCTGCAACTGGTGCCACTTCGCTCTTTCCTGCAATTGCGCTGGTCACACTACTTTCTACGATCCCTTTGGCGCTGGAGCAGATCTCCGTCTCTTTGATTTCTTTCTCTGCAGCACTCACACTATCAATGTTACTTTCATTTGCATTCAGGAGGGCAGCCCCAGCCTCAGTGTCCACGTGGTCTGCTGTGAGACCAGCCTGACCGTCCCCTTCTGCGCTTTCACAAATCACCACCCCTTCACTTTCTTCGCCTATCATACCTGAGCAAGTTGAAGCCTGTCCAATTTCATTTCCTCTCCCAGTACTAGTTACGACGCCTTCCCCCTCATCATCCTCCTCCTTTGCGCCTGTGCTCGTCACAATGCCTTCATCATCGCAGGGGCCAGCAGCGACCACGGGGGTATTAGTGACTTCTTTGGCCACCGTGCTGGCCATCGCACTCTCTCCACTCCCTTCTGTTTCAGAACTTATCAGGCAGCCCTCACTGCTGTCTTCCGAGCCTGTGCAGCTCGCCGGCCCCTCCCCGTCCTCCTCCATTATGCCTGTGCTAGTGACTGCGCTCTCGCCTTCCGCACCATCGATCACGGAACCACTGCCCTCCTGGTCGGCACTTGTACCAGGGGGTGCGTCATCACCTATCAGGACCACCTCGGCCCCTGGGGCTATGCGCTCCTCCCCAGGCCCTGCTCCTGTTACAGAGCAGATAGCAAAGTTATCACTTCTGCCTTCTGCTCCCGTACATGTCACGGTGCCTTCTGTCTCTTTTTTGGGGCCCATTCTTGTCCTGTCTCCCTGGGTTCTATCAACCTCTTCACCGCTCATGGACCCTGTCCTTATTTCTGTCCCAGCACTTGTAACTGCTCCGTCGCTTTCAACCTCACTAACAGAAGTACCAGTCCCTTCAGCTATTTCTGAGTCCCTGCTTGAAGAACCATCACATTTGCCCTCAGAGCCCGCGCTGGTCACTGCGTCATCTTTTTCTTCAGACACAACGCTGTTCACACTGGCTTCCACTGCACCTATGTGAGTAGCTGTGGCGCCTGCGGCTCCATCTTCCGATTCAGCCGCGGTACACTCTGCACTTTCACCTTCCTTGGTGCTTGTGAGGAGAGTTTCACTGTCAGCAAACCCTTCAGTGACAATACCCCCACCCTCTTCAGCTGCAGCAAAAACGGTGCACTCACTGGCTTCTGCCCCAGCCTGGAGGGGATTGCTTATGGTGCACGCACCCGGCGTGACGCCTTCGTCTGCCTCGATGCTGGTGCATGGCAGAGCCATTCCACTCTCTGCTGTTTCTGAAGAGGTAGTGGTGGCATCTCCACCCTTTCCTGGGTTTAAAGCGATGCCTTGGTCCTTCCCTTCAGTGCTAGTGGGAACGGAAGCCTTTTCTGCTCTATCAAACCCAGCTACTCCACTCCTTCGTTGCAAAATGGAGGGTGCAGCATCACCATCACCACTGGTGTCTACTTCAGTGCTCTGGTTCCTTCTTTCTGCACCAGCTGCTATGTTTATTTCCCCTGGGCTACAACTATGCTTAAGATCGACAGTTTCCTCATTTCTGTCTGTAGCTCTAACTGTCTGCTTCACAGCGGGCTCTCCACTTAAGTCATTTTCCTTCTTTGTTGTATCCAGCAAGCCGTCTTTGCTAAGGCTGTTTTTCTCAGTCATGTCTGTGGACTTGCTAGCAAGAGGTGTATTCACTTTTCCATCGTCACCGTCCAGTGGTGTGGCCTGGTGGCCTTCTGGAACGTGACTTCTGCCAGCCACGCCTGCTTCCGCTGAGGAACCTTCACTACCTTCTTCGCTAGCACTTGTCCCAGGGACCTCTGATTTCTTAACAGTTAAGCTTTGGTTAGGGGGATCAGAGGGAGCCACAAAGGAGGTGCTGCCTACGCCCCCTTCTGAAACAGTTCTGTCAGTTACAGGAATTACATCTGAAGCATGAGGTTCATTCTGAGGCACAGCGTTCACTGAACTTAAGGTCAATGAGGCGTTTGTATCTGTGGAATGTTCAAGAGTAGCATCTCCTTGAGCAACACGCTCCTCAGTGGGTCTGGCTGTGCTTTTCAAGTCCTTCTGCAGCCTATCACTTTCCGAAGGGATATTAGGCAACAGTCTATGACTTATTTCCGAGTCTACATTCATTTCATGCGCTCCCTGTTGAATGAGCTCTTTCTCCCTGGGATTTGGTTTGGATACTGCACTTTGGATATGTACTTTCTTGGCCAAGGTGCTTTTATGGTCAGTATGCTTTTCTGAATTGCTACACACTCCTGTCCCACGGCCCGATTTACAGGCTGCAGCTGGTTTTGCATCTGTGGTGGAAGTTTTTAATTCATCCTTTAGAACTAGGGTAGCAGTTTTTTGTTTTGTGACATTTTCAGAGTCAATGTCTTGCTGAGAACTATTATTGCTGTTGTCTTGGGTTTTAGATACTTCAAATACATTTGCAACACCTGCTTCAGAATCAGTTTCCATTGGCTCCTGTTCAGGGATTGATGTATCACCACTTCTTTTTGATCTCTGAAGGGAGGAACTATTGGGAGTACCCGGAGTATTTGTTAATTTTTCTTCTCCTTTGGCCATTTCCTGTGACAGGCTTCCTCTTCGATTTTCACACAACCTTCTACTTAACTTCTTTTCTATAACTGAACCATTCCCTCTCAACTTTTCATGGTTACTGTCAGTTTCTTTACCATCTTTGTCCTCTGCTTTATTTTCTTCCTTCTTTTTCACGTCTTTACTACTATGCTTTACGCTTCTGCTTTTGTGCCCATCTGATAACTTCCTCTCAAGTCTGGAGGAGCTTGAATCCTTCTCGCCTTTATACTTCTCCTTTACCAATAATTTAGCTTTGTGACTGGAATCTTTCGGCACACTATGTGAAGAAGCAGCACTCTCTGATGCAGGTTCAACACCAGTTTCTTCTACAGGTTTGTCTTCAACTTTAGCCTTGCGCTGTTTTTCTGGGTCGTTTTCCTCTACGGTCTTTTCCTTCTCTGGTTTTGGAGCGGCCCCCTGTTTTGTGACACTTTCTTGTAACTCTGTTTCAGCAACTTTTAATTGTTTGCCTTGACCTTTTGATTTAGACTTCAACGTAAGTTTATCTTCCAACAAGCTCTTCGTTCTTCTCCTCTCCTTGTGAACAAGCTCTTCTGGCTTTAAATTGCTGTCTAAATTACTTGAGTCTGTATCACATTTATCTTCTGAATAACTTTCACTTCTTCGCTGTAACGTGGCAGCATGCTGCTTGCAACTCAGGGCATCTTTCTGAACCTTGGTGTCACTTGATCTTCTTGACTTGTGCTCTGCTTTAGTTTTTTCAGTTGACAAATGTCTCTCTTTTTTGTTGTTCTCCTTACGCACATTCTCATCTGTTTTTATGATATATTCAGAAACTGGCTTTCCATCTTTGCCTAAAACTGACAACTTCCTTTCATTCCTGTGTTTACTTTTTCGTTCAGCTTTCTCATCTGAGGAAGGCTTTGTTTGTTGACTTTGCTTCTGGGTATTTTCCTCTACTTTTAAACCTTTTTCAGCAGAGTGTGCTTCAGTCTCATCACCTGTTTTGTGTGTGCTGTCACCCTTATATTTATGTTTCGTAGACAGTTTTTCTTCTGACAGAGTTTTTTCTTTTTCAGGCTTCTCCTTGGAGGATTTTGCCTCTTTCTTAGGGAGGCTTTTCAAATGTGACACTTCAGAATCCTCTTTCTTTAGATGCTTTTCATTTTTTAGTGTGTTTTTCTGTTTCTGGGGTTCTTCTGTGCCTATTTCTGAGCGTTCCATTTGCCTTTTTCCATCTCTTGTGTCAGTTTCTTCCTGCGCCACTTCCATGACAACAGGGGTGGATGTCCGCCTTTTATGCTCTCTCTCTGCTTTGGATTCATTTTTGTTTTCCTCAGCAGAATGTAAGGACTCTGAAAGTCTCCGGGCAGGCTTACTTGGTTCGCTCTTTGCATGAGCATGCTTCAGTTCCTTTGAAGAACATGCCTTTTCCTTTTCACAGTGCTGTAAGAAAATAAAGGTTAAAATGAGAAATGCCCAAATCAATTTTTAGATCCAAATTTAATAGATGGAGCATTTAAAATGTCAATTTCTGGCACATAGGTGACACCTAACTTAATCTTTGGAAGGAACCTGTGCTAGGTTTTATTCATTTCTCCATATACATCAGGAAGCTGAAGTTCAGTGTGACCCCATAACTTGACACTTAGCAACAAGGAGCTGTGCTAGAAACAAGTTGAGATGAATGTGTTTTAGGTCCAGCACCATTCTCAGTACATTTTAGGCAGCTTTACAGAGCCTAACCTAGATTTTCCTCTGAGGTTCACCTTGCACTTGAAAAGCCTTCAAGTCTACAATGCTAGAGCCCCTAACGCCTGGTAGCCATAATAATATAAGCAGAAAGTATGACAGTCCAATGTCCTTTTTAAGTTAAATCCATACATGCTAATGAAAGTAATTTAAACATTTTACACTGAAATAAAGGTTTTTGATATTTATACTTAGAAACCAAAATTATTTAGAAACCCAGATAATTTAGAGTACTTGTACCATACTTTACCTATGAAGTTTCAAAGTACACAATAACTCACAGTAACACTATCATATATGTGACTACACTTACGCACTCAGAGGAAGGTGCAGAGACCATAAATTTGAACCTTCCTCTTCACCCCAGTTTGCCACTGAGTAGATTATTAATATTAATTAGCAGACACTGATTAAATCCACTTCATAAAAACTTGGTGACTACTTGCCATAATTATTCTCATTCAAATAATGGGCCAAAGACCTCTAGGCTTCTGGGTCAGCTTAACACTGCCACTTCTTAAATTTCAACATGAAGACTAACATGTAGTTCTATTGGTAAAGAAACCTAAACATGGCAACACCTTAACAAATACTTTAAATTTCTCAAAGAAAAAAGCAACAGGAGTTTCTATCAAACTAACCTTTACAACAAATAAATCTAAACAGTTAATGTGAATGTAATTTAATGAGATAATTTCTTACAACAATTTATCAAAAAAAATTTAAGTATGAATCTAACTTCTGATTATAGAAATTAAAAATATTTACTGGCCCACAGGAGGGGAAAAAAAAAATTTACTGGTTATAAACAATCATCAAATTACTAGCCCCTCCCTCTCTAAAATGTTAAGATGTTTCAGCTAAAGAACTGTAATATGGCTGTGTAAACAAGGATTTAAAATCATTGAAAGCCAAAGCTTATTTTGGGAAAATAATCCAAAAAAAGGGAAGAAATGTACTCTTTGCATATATTTTCACAGTTTAAAATGATCTGGCCAAGAGTGCATGCCTGTAATCCTAGCACTCGGAGGCTGAGGCAGGAGGATTGCTGTGAGTTTTTGAGGCCAGCCTGGGGTACACAGTGAGTTCAAGGCCAGCCTGAACTACATAGCAAGACCCTGTGTTGAAAAATCAATAAAATGATCAAATGTTACATACAACGTGTTTACATATAAAAAAGCTTAATGATATCCATTCAATGTAACACTCTGCAATCAAAAAGAAAATTTACGAAAAAACACACAATGACTAAAATGTGAAAAACCATTTTGTCAGGTTGCTTCCAGTGTAAAAAATTATATCCACATGTGGACACGGAATGAAAGAACAAAATGGATACTCTGTTATGGTGCAGGCATTTTAGGTCTGTTTTCTATTGTTTTCCTTCTCATGATTATTACTAGGAACTTTACTGTTGTCAGTGTGAGAAACAGGGTGAAGGTGGAAGGAAAAGAACAGAAACTATTTATTAAATAAAAGATACAAATATAAAAAAAAATTTTAAAAAGATAAATCAACTCACCAAAATGAGGAATTCAGACCATATTAGGATGAGGGCTCAAGAACGCTGAATGGGAAGAATTTTTTACTTTATATGGAAAAGATGAAATTACATTTGAAGTTTTACTATAAAGGACTAAAAAGTATGTATCTAATGCAAAAGCATTGGGTTTTTATTAAGACATACCTCACTTGTTTTGAGGGTTTCTTTAGAATCTTCTTCAGACTGCTGTTTCTTTTTGGCATTCTCTTCAGTGTTCCTAAGGATGGGGAAATGCCCATTAAGAACACTGACTCAAATACAAGAATTTCTCAGTAAGGTAGGAAAAAAGATTCCTTTACTACAAGCACTAAATCCAAAAATGGAGAACTGTTACTTGTGAACTGAAATCCTATTCTTAGTTGATGCGGCGCTCATAATGCCAAATGTGGTGTGAACTGCTCTTGGTGCTGAAGGAAAGTGTGGCTGAAGCACAAATCCTGGATTCACTGCACGAAGATGAAGATGAATACCGTACGAGCTATGTTTATATTTTGAAAGTCTTACCATTTTTCTGAGCAGTGTAGCCTGTTTTATTCAGATCAATTGAAACAAGATACAGTAATAAATTTGAGAGCTGACTCTTCTCAATGAATTCTACGAATTATTGATTCATTTATCTTGAAGTCCATCATTAATTTACGTAACTGCAACTTGATGGAATAGCAAAATTGTAGCCCAGGGCTCACATAACCTTACAGTTACTCTCCCAGTTTTCAGTTTTCTAATTGTTATAGAATTAGCAATGATAATGTCGGGTTAAAATAGTCTTGGATTTTAGGGAAAAACATAGGACACTGGCAAAAAGAACTGTGTAAAGGGCTGAAGAACGGATGCAATCATTCTTAGTGGGTACCAAATGCGCAGAACAAGAACAATTCTAGAGTAATTCTAGAAAGTGCATAAAGTGAAATCCTAGTATTAATTATGTGTGACACATGGATATTTTTCTGGAGAGAAGGTCTAAAGCTTTCATGAGATGATCAAAAAAGTAACATACATTACTTTAAAGGCTGGATTTGGCTCAGTGGTAGAGCACTTGCCTAGCATGCATGAGGCCCTGGGTCTGATATGCTGCACATACGTATTATACACACAGATGTGCACATCATTTTAAAATGTTATTAAGACAATGAATCATGGTAGTAAAAACAAAACCTAAACTCCCTGTAAACATGCAGTCACATACACACTGAAGGTACAACCTTCTTTACTACCATGAAGACTTTCTTTCTTCTGTAAGCATCATGCATTCCAGTGAGTATTACAGTAAGAACAAGGCCAGGTAAAACATGTACCTTGAATCTTTCCTTCTTTTTTTGCTTAAGGCTACTTTTTTTTCTAAAACTTTCCGTTCTTTAAGAACTTCTTTAATTCTAGGGGCCTTTGGTTCCAAACTCTTTGTTGCTGATTCTTCTACATCCACATTATTTTTGCCTAGGAAAGAATAAGCCAGTAAACTGTATTTCAGAAGAGTTTCATAAACAATGTTACCTTTACTTTTCATTCAGACTTTATAATTACTGTAAAAATGAAAAATGGCTTTAAAGCCCTTAAGTTGTACTGAAATAAACATACTAAACTCAATTTTGTTTCAGTCAACATTCTACATAAGGGTTAACATAAAGGACTGGGGGCACAGCTCAGCGGTAGAACATATGCTTAGCACATGTGAGATCTTGAGTTCAATCCTTAGTACCAAAAATGTCCATTTAAATCCTATTCTTAGTTGACAAGGAAATCACAATGTCAAATCAAAACAAACAAAAAAATCCAAAAGTTAACATAAAAAATAGTTGATTTCCATTATTATCAGCAGTGAGGCTTCACTGCATGCTAACAACCATATTTCAGTGATAATTCATTCTACTTTCCAGTGGAAAATCAATGGTTAACATAACTGGCATAAGCTGACATTCAATGCTTAATTTACAAGTAGGGATATAATAAAAAGAAAAGTGACTAAACATACCAGATTAAAAAAGGAAATCGTTCACACTTGAGAACAGATCATTTTATTTCCTATTCTTATTTCCTAAGTAAGACCAGAATAGCTAGTAAATAATGGCATAGATGAAGTAGTTTAAAATAAATAGTTAACATCCATTATACCTTGACTTTTCCCTTTGGAAGACTTGGTCTTTTCTGCTTTCTGTTTTCGTTTTTCTTCAAGTTTCTCTCTATTAATTTGCCTTCTTAAAAGTCTTTCCTCTTTTTCTTTTGCCTAAAGCACAAAATATCCTAATTGATTCTCAGCAAAAAGCAAAGACACGGAAGGAAAATATAGAGGAAAAAGGTCTTTGTTCTTCAGATGTTCTTTTAAATAAATGGACTCTGCAGAAGTACATACATTCTTTCCTCTCTTCTCTAGGTAGATACATACACAGGCATTTCTGTGTGAGTATATATACCTTCATATGTATGAGTGTTTTAATTTGGGAGCTACCAGAAGAATACAAGAGAAAGATGTGAAACTTTTTCCTTATTCTTAGAATGCCAGAATGGGAATGGTATAATTCTGATAAAAGGTGGTTTAACTAACTAGTTGTTTCAATTAAAAAGATAGTCATAAAAGTGTCACTGAATCCGGGCATGGTGGCACATGCCTGTAATCCCAGTACTCAAAAGGCTGAGGCAGGAGGATCATGAGTTTGAGGCCAGCCTGCGATACATACTAAATTAAAGACCAGCCTAAATCACATAGCAAGACCCTGTCTCAAAAAACAAAAACAAACAAACAAACAAAAAAGTGTCATTGACCATCAAGTATGTTCAGGTAGGAAAAAGCCAGTATACAGACTCAAGTGATAGCAAGTTTGAACTGGTGATTATACTAGGGACCCAGGCTTTGGACATGGAACCTCTGTGCTGTCATATTTTAAACCAAGAAGAATTCACAACCACTGTGTCACTCCCATTACCCATCTCTGGTCCACAGCTAAAAGTCAAAGTGCCAAAAACCCTAAGAAGAAACATAACTGCGGACATGCAACAACACTGCAAGGATGACTATTCTCTATTCACACAGTGGTATAGAGAATTTTTGTATTTTAATGTTTCTTAAATTGTAAGCCAACTTAAAATTGATGTACACATACAATTACATACAAATTTTCTTTAAAGACCTATTACAAACTCAAAGGTACACCTATCTTATAACTAGAATTTTCAAACCTGGAACATATATGTGGACTGCATTTCTCCATTAACTTTATGATAATAGCTATGTATTATATTTTAGTATGACTTCACCCATACTGATACAGTTTCATGCTATGAAAGATGAGACCACTGGTAGTGTTTCACTTCTACCAGTAACGTGATACAGACACCTCTGCCCGTGTATGTCTACTTCACTTAGTGAAATGGCAAGTTCCTGAAGGCAGAGCCCAAGTCTCTGCTTCTAAAAACACCAGTACCTTGCACAGTATTCAAGTGTGTCAACCTGCTACAGGAAGCTAACACAGTAACAGATCGAACTGGACTTACAATGGACTGTCGCCGTTGTTCTACAGTGAGCTCGTCATCAGAGTCACTGTAGTACTTCGAGTAAAGATACGGTTTGTGAACATAAGCATGCCGTACACTTTTCGCTTTTCCCTCGCTGGAATCACTAGTTTGAGCTTTTGTTTTATTCTGTTTGCTCTTCTCTTCATCTGGAAGAAAGTCAATACAAAGAACAGCGCTTCTGTGAATCAGCAGACGTCACACACGTTATCAAAAGAAAAAACTTCAGAATTTAGAGTTTATTTGGGCAAAAATTGATGCATGAATTGGGTGTATGTACTGAGACCCAGAAGGGGTTCAGAGAATTCTGCCTTTAGCAGTATGCTCACCAAGTTTTATGGGCTGAATGTGGAAGCGAAGTTAGTTACCATACTGGACAGGCAAGACCTTTGCCTTATTTGCATATGAGGAGACAAGAATTACTTAGGGAGTAACTAGTGGTCTCTGATGGCCTGAGATTAAGTGTTTTACCATTTACACCATTCTCAATCTGCTTATGCAGGAATGCAGGAACCCAAGGAGTAGGAGCTGCCTCAGTGTAACCTTCCTCTACTCCTAATTTCTTAAAGCAATGCTTTTTTGACAAATAGTTCTTATTTCTCAGTGGACTTGATACTAATGCTTTACAACCATAAAGTTAAGCAAATTTACTTGAAGCTGTAAATAAGATTTTTTTATCTTTTTTTGTGAACCAGAAATCAAACTCAGGACCTCTTTCTTGCCAGGCAGGCATCATGCTGCTGAGCTATATCCCTGACCCTGTAAATGAGACTTTAATGGCTACCTGTGCGTTCAGAAAAGAAGCAGGAATCAACAACGGTTTTCCTATACCAAGCACACCTTAGAATCCTCTACATGAGGAAGATGAGTAGTCTCAGTTGATACAGTAAGAAATGAAGAAGAGAAAGAGAGGACAAGGTTTTCAATTCCTACTACTTAGTGGGACAAAACAGCTATATTCTTACCTCTTAGAGCCTATAAACATAAAATCTGGCCTTGTCTAAGAAAACACTTCAAAAGCACCCCCAGAGCATCAAGTACTAAAATTGCAGCCAGGGTAGAGAAAGCAGTGTTCACAGGGAGAGGAGCATGCTTCCCACCTGGGCACTATCAAACTGACTTGTGAGGACAGACAGGACAATTAGGGAATGCCTGCTGCTTTTTTTCAGATAGGCAATTCAGTTTCTCACGGATGTAAAACAGCAATGAAAGACAGTGAGACTGGGAAAAACATCTGTGGTGTTAGAAGGTTCTACTTTTTCTCTTTTGATCTTCTCCTAAGATATCCTGTCCAAACACAGCAGCAAATTACAAGATGGTATCTAAAAGCAACTGCCAATAAAACTCAGTATTTTTGATTGTTAAAAAGAAAGCCATAAGAATTCAATCACGGGTAAAGAGCACATGAAGTACTGCTAAGAAGCCAGTCTGAAATCTCTTCTGGTGCGTACTGGCTGTGTTACTTTAGAGGGGACAACTTTCCATGGGCTGTGGGGAGTAGTACAGAAGTCATTATATAGAAGGCCAAAGCCCAGTCCCTGGAACACTGTTAGCTAGAAAACAAACCATATAATAAAGAATTCAGCCTTGCTCTGAGGGGTGTGGCCTTTGGCCTTGGTTTCTGGGGGCAGGGGGTCACTGTGAAGTCCTGGGAATGCTATGCCTAACACACCAAAGAGCCTAAGATGTGACAGAGGGAAGAGACGCTGCATCATGGAGTTTCAGCCTGACCTCCAGAGGGGGCACAAGCCACATGGTTGTCAACTACCAGTATCTACTGGAGCCCCAATGAGAATTTGGACACCAAGGCCCTGATGAACTTCCCTGGATGACAATACTTATGCATATGATCACCAAAGACAACACCACAGGGGAGGGAGGAACACTGGAGGCTTCCTACTTGGAGCTTTCTCGGACTCTGCCCTATGTACCTCTTCTTTTGGCTGGTATTAATGTGACTCCTTTAGACTGTATCTGTGATAGAGCAGCTTTTACTGGGTTCTCTACGCATTTCCAGTGAATTATTCAGTCTAAGGGTGGTCTTAGGGACCCCTGAACTTGCAATCAGTGCCAGAGGGTTTATGTTGTAGAGTATGCTTCCCCCAAAATGTTACACAAACAAAAGGCACGTCTATAAATATTATCTCAACCAAATCTTATAGTAAGCATCTTGGGACCTGAGTTTTAAGAGATGAAGAACCAAGGGTTGTTGAGGGTTACTAACTCACGAAGTCTGCTAAGACACACAACCTTGGAGATGGGACTCAGAAACAATTTTTCAACTACAACTTCCCATGCTCTTGACATGAAACCACGCTGGCCCACAGAATACGGTCCCCAGAAAATACAAATAATGCTCAGTGGACGTTTCAGACAGGCATGACTCAGTAAAAGGCTTTACCATCTGATGTAATCTCTCCTTCTTCCATGCTATCAGACATGACAACTTCCTCCTCAGTGTCTTCTTCAAAAGACGAAAGGTCACTGGTATGAACAGAGCTAACTGTGATGTCTGTAAGACCATCCACATCAGAATCTATCAAAGAACAATCTTGCAGAATAAAGCAGAAAATAAATCAGCTTGTTATAGGAACATATTCAAAGCAGAATTCCTAAATTATATCAAAAACCTTCTAAGTATATGCCATATAATTTATCAAATAAACACAAAGGCAAATTAGTATCCTGTAACAATAAACTATTAATTTATAATGTAAATGACGTACACAAAAGTAAAAAGTAATTAACTGAAATATGTGCTACCTAGTATTTTAAAGACTGGGATATACAACTATGAATTAAGCTGCAAGAGATAATGTATGTGAATAAATTACAAGACAAATGATAAATTTTATAGTTTGTTGATTTTCTCTGAATAAATATATTAGGATAGGACAGAATATATAAATGTTTCTTTCTTTTAGTACAGGTAACAGAAGTTTTTAGAATTTCGAAAATATTAAAAAATGTATTAAAGTGTGAAGCCCAACTGACCCAAAGTAGAAACTTTCTCCTTTAAACTTGTGCAGACTTTTAAGTTAACATACCTTCTTTGGTCCCTTCGACAGTCTTAGCTCTATTACTGTTCTTTTCTGAAGGAAGTTTAGCACCTTCCACTTCTTTTTCCTTTGCTTGTTTTTCATCTTTTACTTTTAGAGTATCTTCACTCCTTTTTGAGTAATCCAATTTCTTATCAGTTTTTTCCTTCTTTTCTTTTTTTCTTTCTCCTTTATCATTGCTGTCTGGTTTCTTTTCACCTTTATCTGCTGATTTATTTTTCTGGTCACTGCTTTCCTGCTGAACATCCTTATTTAGCAGAATCAAGCTATTATTCTCTTTCACGTGATTTTTTATTTCTTCAGCTGGACCTTGAAGATCACCAAGTTCTTCGGACTTCGGGGCTGTTTCCAGGCCTTCTCCTCCACAGTCAGGTGAAGTTTTTTCTTTGTCAGCTGTGTCCTCTAAAGCTTTTTCTTTATCAGTACTAATGTCAGTGCTCAGTTGAGAAGAGAGTTTTTTGGACACTCTCTCACCAGTCTTGGGATTCGACATTTCTGTTGAGGCCCGGGCAGCACTAGCTTCCTGGTTAAGAGAAGTTATGGTTTCTAAGATTGACATGGCATCACTGGCTACGTTAGCACTGGGCCCAGGAGCAGGGACACCTTGGAGGAAAGACAAATTTTAGAGTAAATTTATGCAGAAGGTAGACACCTCTGCTGATCAACACTACATGCCAAAGTCACCTTCATACGATGTGTTTCCTCAGGCTTTCAGGTTACCACTGCTAGTACTATTTAGAATTCTCATTACCACTGTATCTCAGGAAGGATACCAGAAAACCTGAGAACAGTCTAATTTCCAGAAAAATTGGCTCTATTTTAGTTGTTCCCTTAATTATAACATGCACACCCACCTACCATTACTTAAATGTTTTTTATTTTATATTAATCTCAAAAAAAGAAATGCTATGCTAGCAGAGAAACTTAGGTGATACTTAAAAGTAAACACAATTTTACTAGAGCAGCCAAACAGAGAGACATTGTAAAGAAACAAATAACCTAACTTGACACTCGGTTCAAGAAGAAAACCAATGGAACTGACCAAGAGCAAATGCAAAGCACCTTGTGTAATGGTGGAAGAGTCTGGTTTCTCGTCGGCAGGAGCTGTGCTGCTACCTGCTTCCTCTTTGTGATTGAGTGTGGCCAAAAACTCATGCACAGCTTTCTCCACCTGAGGTCTGAATGTGTGGTTGATCTTTGGATCCACAACCTGAGAAATAATTCGGTCGATACCAGATTCCAGCATTCCCGATCTGAAATTCAAGGTAATTCACAGAGATAAAGAAGTATTTTTGTATTACTTGAACTAACTATTTTTCAATAAAACTGCATCTATTATACAGTATATATGGTTCAACCTTGAAATGCCCTAATTCACTCATGTGGATAAACAAAAAATGCAGGCAAAAAAAAAAAAAAATGTAAGCAATGGAAAGCTTCACACTTTGGGGGCACTTTACTGTATTACAAAAAAAAAAAGTCCATCATTGTGTCACTGGTGGAAAAATTACAACAGATAAAACAAGAACAACACAAAACACCTTTAGTACTTGCCCCAGCATCTCTCCAGGTAAAGGTGCTACCTGTCACCTCCTACCCTCTGTCCATGGTATATGGGAACAGACAACTGGTAAAGTTTTGAATCTAAAATAATCAACAGATTCTCGGGAAAAAAGGAAACAAAATCAGGCGCCCTTTGTAAGTATTAGAATCTCCAGGAAAGCTGAAAAACACACACACAGAGTGTAATTTTATTGAATTTTATTTTTTTGCATTTTTTAATTTTAAAGACAATAATAGTAAAAAAGAACAATAGCAAAATACCGACAACATAGACAAAAACAAAACAAAGCAAAAACAATAATACAGGGTTTCAGAACAAAATGACAGGAACTAACAGTGGCTGTTATATTACATATTGTTATCTTCAACAAAGTTGTTCAGATCACCAGATGTAAGAATGCAAGACTGATCCAACTATTAAAGAGAATAAAAACCAAAAACAACAAAAAAACATTAGAAATGGTACCGAGTTTCACTAGGCAAGATGGTTAGGAATTCACCAATGGTTGTTATATTGTACATTGTTGTCTTCAAATTCGTTGTTCAGATTACCGGGTATACTATAAAAACTAGATGATTTATTTATTTGGCAACTGTGTTATGAGTATCTACCACATAACAGCTGCCAAGCTGGCTCCCCTGTTGCTAGGAATCAGAGCAGTCTCTCCTCTGGCTGGGGAGGCAGATACAAACCAGTACAACCCAAGATGAGCTGCTGCGGTGGGACATGTAACTGCAGCACTTGGGAAACTGAGGCAGGAGGATCTCAAGTTGGAAGCCAGTGTGGGCTATGTAGCAAGTTAAGGCTGGCCTGAACTACATAGTGAAAGTCTGTAGCAGAAAACCAACCAATAGCCAGAAGAAAAAAGATGACAGGCATGAGTATACACCATGTACTGTAGGAAAAGAGACAACAATATGTCCAAGATAATTTGTGAATAATGCCAAAGGACCTTTTCAGACATTTTGGCTGAATCCTGATTTCTATACGGAGAAGAAAAGGTCTCCAGAATAAAGAAATATATACAACAGACAAAGATACAACAACAGACACGCTCTTGCTGAGTGCATGGTCTGCGCTAAACACACCGGAGGAGTGACGGTGCCCGGAGGGCAAGGCGCTGCCTCGGGGGTCTCCGCAGCACGGGTGCGATGTCTTTCCTTACACTTCACAAAAGCTATTTTTGAGAGCAGCTCTGGCTGGGGTGGATGTTGCATTTCATTTCCTGAGGCAACTTGCTGCCTTGTGATACTGTAATTCTACTTATGTGGGCCATAGAGAAAAATGAGCTGACATGGCAACAAAGTAGGTTACCCGCTTTTTAAAGCTCTAAAGATTAAAAAAACACACCACTATAAATCCTAGGACCACTGCTACATCTTTTTAACATAGGAAAAGAAACAGAAGCCACCTTGAGTATACTTCTAAGTAAGAAATACAAAAGCATAAAATATGAGTCGAAAATGTATAGAAAATAAAACTTATCCATTTCCAAACTATCGATTCAGTCTCTTTCTCTGCCTGTATTCTCACTTCTTGTGTTACAAACTAACAGATACTTCTACTTTAGTCCTCTCTCCAACAAGAGTCAGCTCTGATCTTCTAACCCCAGAGGCCAGAGCTAAGGAGTGCGCTGCTCGTAGTGGGCTGACGTGGGGAGCGGCCAGCGCTGCTCACCAGAGTGCAGAAGCCTCAGTCCTAGCCTCGGGGCAAGGCCAAAAGGCAGGGAAACTGACATTTTCTTGGTTAAAATTACTTCCTTGTCTCCCTGTTGAATTGTTTGGTTAAATCAATATCTGAAGCCATCTAGGATTTTCATCTGTAGCACAAAATGAATGGCTTAGTAAAACACAAATTTTCTTTCTACTGATTCAGGTGACTAATAATTAAATTTAACTATCAAAAATTGCTGGTAATCGCTTCTCCGCCTTTTGGCTAAGACCAAGTGTAGAAATTGCTGGTATCAGACCATTTTGTACTACAAAAAATGAAGTTGGAGATGGCTCAATTTCAGTGAACTTTCTCAAAGTACATGTATTAAAAACTGTTTCAAATTATATTTATTTACAGGATTAGTCCATCCCTGTGCACACAATAATCCGTTTAAGGAAATTTTAAAATGTTAGGTGTAATGTAAAACTTTACTAATGCAATTTAAATGAAAATAGCTTATTTAAAAATAACACAGTTGTAAAAAAATGTATGATTCCTAGGAAAGAGCAATGCTTAAATTACACAAGAGAAGACAGCTGCTTGTCCTCTTGTGCGATGTCTCTAAGGGAAGGTGCACCCCGTTACTCACAGGTGGACCACTCCAGTATTTCCTAACTACCAGTCACAGAACTACCGTGGGCCTCTCCAAACATGATTCTGTGATAAGTGTCTCATGCTAGTACTGTACAAGTGCTTATAGTGGATGATTTTCCAAGTGCAAGACTTGAGTTTAGTTCCCTTAAAAGAATAAGCAAACTGTTTCCTTATCTTTCAAATCTTCTATGCCAAAAAGTACATAAAATTCCATGAAGTGTGCCTTCCATTTGAGATTTCACAAGATATGAAGAAAAAGGACACAATAGTCTATAAAACATGCAATCATATAATCACTGGTGAAGAGCGAGGCAGCAAGGCAAAGCACTAGAGGAAAGCACTACAGGATCTGCAGAAAGGTGTGCAGATGGGGGGTGCTACCAGTAAGCCTGCTCCAAGGCCCATTCCTGAACTGTTTGGTGTTTGTTCTCCTGAAGACCTGAACAGAAGTGACTAACCTTCCATGTCTGTCACCCAATAGACTTGTCTCTTCTTTTTCGGGACTTTTCCCCCAACAGGTATTATTATGCAGCCCTCTAATGGACTCTTTTACAAGTTCCTCAAACATCCACTAAAATGTAGACAACAAAGCTACTGCTAATTTCCTTCTCTCATTCACAAGGAGACAAAATTTAAGCCGACAGGTTCCTGCCTTCTAGTATTACCTGGAGCTAGATGGGTCTGTTAGTTAAGGAGTGAATTTTTACTTCTGGGGCTTCCTGTGGCTTGGAATTATCACACTAGGTAGTTCTTACAGGACAAGAGAAAATAAGAGGTGGCAGGTATAAAACACATTGCTTAACTGTTTAAAAGCCACATTTTATTCTCAAAAAAGGTGCCTGAAGGTAATGCAGGAGGATCATTAGCTCTTTTTTTTATTTTAAAGGAAAAAAACAATATAACAATAATGAAGACAAAAACAATAAAAACAATACGGGATTTCAAAACAAGATGACAGGAATTAACAGTGGTTGTTATATTACATATTGTTATCTTCAAGGAAGTTGCTCAGATTATCAGACGTAAGAATGCAAAATTGATCAAATAATTAAAGACAGTAACAATTAAAAAAACATTAAGATGCGGTATTTTTATACATTAGTTCTTTAATGTATCCCTTTTGTGGAGTGAAAAGGCAGGGGTAGCAGGTCTTCTTATGTTGGCAAATGGTTATACTCAAAAACAAGCGGAAGACTGCAAGCCAGGTTTTTCTTTTTCTTTTTGGAGTAAATATCACCCCCGACACCACAAGTCTTTCAAGCATTCCAGCTCTTATTTTCTTTATGTTCACTCAAACTGACTCAGTTGTTTTTTTTTTTTTTTTGGCTAGATCATCACTAAATAGCAGCATTAAAAGTCATTAAGAATGTAAAAAAAAACCCCAACAAACAGTTGGGGGGATCTGCATTAGAATACTTGGCTTCATATCAAAGGAAAGGGTTTTAATTTCAGTGATGTTTGCCTTTGTTTGTACAACAAGAATAATAAAGCCAGTACTGAGGGCTAGGAAAATAATTGTAAATATAGCTGTATAGAATATTATGGCATTAATCATCTATTAATATCTTCATTTTTTAAAAGGTCATATTTCCTTCCTTCAAACAATCCTGTAAGTATATAGCAAAACTTCATACTATGTAATCCAGCACCTGGGAGGTTGAGGCAGCCTTGAATTACATAGTGAGACCCTTAAAAAATAAAGAAAAGTGAATAGATTATACTCTAAGATTACACATCACTTGGAGTAAGCACACCAAACATGCGAAAACTGCCAACATCACTAGGTGAACAAACTGCAATGTTTGTACTTTCAGAGAACCCAGGTTGTGCCCTTTTAAAGCCTGTCCCAGAGCAGGAACCCTGAGACTTACTTGAGGACTTGCTGTCTAATATTGTTTCTTAGTTGGTTCTTGTTAAGATGAGGGCTCCAAGTATGAGCGGCCAAGTGGTTTGCAACAAAGTTGTCAACGCGCTGTCTCAGGTTCTGATAGGCGGGCTGAAAGGAAACACAAACATACATATTAACAACGCCTGGTGCTACATGGTGTCAGTACCAGTCTCAGGAATTTGAGTATCTTTATTCCCTATCAATACAGCAACCAAATTTCAAAGCACATGACAATTTTATTAATTTACACTCATTCAAATCCCGACTATTTCCTCTAAGCCAAAGTAACGAAGAAAAACACCTCTATAGTCAAAGAATCAGAATATAAAACACAACTAAATGTTAACTTATGAGAGGTGTCTAAAAAAGAAAGTGCAAGCAGCAGAAGCAAGCCTTTCTTGAGTGCGGCATGGGAGCTGCAAAATCAGTTTAGAAGTTTCACAATATAGGGGCTGGGGACTTAGCTCAGCGGCACAGCATCTGCCTGGCAAGCGCAATGTCCTGAGTTCGATTCCCAGTACGGTGGGGGGGTGGGGGGTGGGGAGCGTCACAATGTAAACAGAGAGCTAAGTGGATGAGAAAGTGCAGGGTCAGGGGCATCTGATGAACCCCCAAACTGACAGTCTGACTTGTTTGAAGAAGAAATACAAAAAAGAAATTAATTTGGAGATACAGATAGGGGCCAGGTGCTGGAAGGCTTTGAGTACCTGTCCAAGCAAGTCTGAAATTACGGAGAGCAGAACGAGAAGCAAGCACATGTAGGAGCAGCGATAAGACAGCTGAGCCCCTGGATGACTAATCATAATGAAAGAGTAAACAGACAGAAAATAGGAAAGTTTGCAGTAACTAGAGTGACTAAGATCTGTGCTATGGCAATCACTCAAAGCAGGCATTCAATCTGATGGAAGGCAGCAGTTAGCGATTTCAATCCCAGGGGACAGAGGGTCGGCAGGGCTAGGCAATGTCCGAGACGCTCTGGTTGTCATAACTAAGGAGGTGCTACTGGAATCTAGTGAGGTGCAGTGATGCTGCCAAACACTCTACAATGCACAGGAGAGCCACACCGTGAGAACTACTCAGCCTCAAATGCCCACAGTGCTCAGGCTGAGAAACCCCGATGAACCGCAGCACAGACAGAGGGCACGATCAGGTCATCTCTACTTTTTGAAAGCGCATTCCTTAGAAGGAATGAGTAACCACTCACTCAGGACTGTACTTAGTCCCTAGAGGTTGTCCCTGCAGTTTCATGGTCTTTAGCTTTCTCTTGCATGACTTTTAGTGCAGCAAGTTTCAGTGTCTATAATGATTTTTGAATGTTTGAAGCAAAACGGTACAGCCTTTGCTTCTGTTGTTTCCACTCATTACGTTACAAGTTTACATTTCACCAACTGACTCTCACACAAGCACCATTCCCCTACTTGTCCATCTGGCCAACTTCTTACCTCCAGAGCTTATCCTAACCTGTGAAGTTGCTCGGACACCCAAGTGAGGTTTACATGGCCCTTCTTCTATGTCCCCGCTATCTTCTGTACATATACTACTTCAGCAATCCTTCTATTGCATTGTATGTATTAACCCTCCCTTAATTTTCATCTTCACACGACCTATTACCCTTCTGGTAGATAATCAATTAAAATACAGTTTTCAGATGACTGGGTTGCTACGCATAGTACAGAATGATCAAAATTTCACTCCCTCTCATCACTTCCAATTTTCAGGCTTATGCTGACGTTTAGATGTTTGTTTTCTACACTATAGGAAAGCTTCACAATTATTTCTCACATTCTTCTCCATTTCTCTGTATCAGTGTGAACTAAAACCAACTTTTTTCTCCACAATGATTCATAAGCATAATTCTTTCTAGTATTCCCAAATCGAACAATCACTAAGCTCAAATATCACAATGCATTTAGCATTAGTCTCTCCACAAGTTCCAATTTGAACTACCCAACAGGTAATTTTTCTTGTGTCCAAGTTCTCTTTCCTTTAGCAAATTGCCAGAGCTAGCACCAGGGTACATCCAGGATCTAACTACTTCCCAATTCTTCTCTACTAACACTCTGGTCCAAAGTTCTCATCTCCTGCCTAGAGTATAGTATCTGGCCTCCCAGTCTACTCTAGCCTACCAAATATCTACTTCCCAAAGTACAGTAACATTCTAAAATGAGGGTAACCACATAATTCATTGTCCAAAGTGGATCATGAATGGGCACAAAGGGAACACTATTAGTAAACACTCATGGTCAACCTATCTAATGTAGGTTTTGCTCAAGACCAGCTAATGGCTTCTAGTTCAAGAAAAGCCCACACAATTAGGTTGGTATCTAAATCTGGGAAGGAGGGCGGGCACTTTCCCTCTCAGCAGGTTCTGCCTCAGGTCTTCTACACTCATCATGGTCTCCACCAGGAGTGCATGGGGCCTTTCCATCCCGTCACAGACAGCTCAAGTGTCATCTTAGTGAAATTTTCCCCAACAAGTGACCCAAACAAAATAGTGGGTATTTCAATCTTTGTCCGTCTTTCTTTTTCCTTTCTTTCTTTCCTTTTTTATAGAAGCCATCACATATTATTTTTGTACTTTGCTCTGGTAGGACACACAGTCTGCAACAGTGAGACTTCTGGTTCACTCTTGGAACCCTGGCACTTAAAACTGTGCCCGGTACGAAGAACTCACTCAGAGTATGTTTGTTTAGTGAATAAACTGACTAGGCCCGTTTATAAATGCAAATGCCCAGAAAGTGTCGAAAAATCAGTCTTTACTACATGGGGAGAGAGAAGCTGTTCTTGTTTGTTTAGCTCCCTGCCTAGGACAAAATGATGGCTTCTTGATCTTTCCTCCATACTCTCCAGTTGCTAAGCAACATAAAGGAAGGAGAACGGCTGTGAAGCCACCAGGCTTGCTCCAGCAAGCTGAGAACTCATGCCTATCATGAAGGAGCCTTCACAGTAGTTGGGGTTGTAGGCTCTCACTGTTTTGAGCAGCAAGTTTGTCTGTGACAGTGAGATTTTCCTTAGTTAAGGATCGGTGATGACCCCATGACAAGGGGAGTTCTACAGCCTTCTGCAGTAACAGCAGACTTTGGTACTTTTTATCCTGGCTTACACACACTGGCCTGGATAACAGTTTTGCCCTTGGAGAGCACCTATCAGGTACCAAATGTCTTTACTGTTAAGTATGTATGTGACTGACAAAATCCAGTTACTGATACAACTCTGTATGTTACAGGTAAGATCTGACAGGCAGCAGGTCCATTTTTCAGATTCAATTAGCAAAAGTACCATACCGTAAGTGCAGCCGGGAACCAAGGATTCCATTTCAGTGATGCTCTTTTGCCTCAACAGAAAATATTTCCACTTTTGCCTATTTATCACTTTGTTATGAATGTTAAACTCCTATGAGGAAAAAGTTTTAGTATTCATTTATTTAGATTTTCAAACTGACTATTTTTTAAATAATAAAAAGGTATTGAGTTAAAAAGTCAACAAAATTGTTGGCTACAGGGGAAGAAAAAAAGGAGAAGGAAGAACAGTAAAGGTGAGCAGGGGGAAAAAAGACTCATGTAGGGAGGATATGAGCAAGTATATGAGTGATAAAACAACTTGTCCACTCCCAGCTGTCTCCTGCTGTCCGGAAGGTGGGTATCATCACTTCAACTATACTCTTGGAGCCTCAAACATTAAAATAGGGAAGGTTATACTGGGACTCTCGAACTCTCTACTAGGTTGAGCCACATAAAACTGCACAAAGGCAACCACTTTGAATTACTAAAATAGCATTTTAGTGCGTATATGTAATTTTTCTTGGGAGGAAAGCTTAGCTCTCGTTAGACTGTCAAAGGAACTGAGCTTCGGCACCACCGAAAGGTTTTTTAATACAGTGCTTTCACAGAGATATTATGGACACAGAATGAATAAAGAGTTGAATCTCAGATTTTCAATTTGCATACACAATAATAACACACATATCTGTAGGTTTCTAAGAACAGCAAAACAAATTTCCTCTTCTTGGATACCATGGGTAACTTTTACCTCGCCATGTCTACTTTTTTCCCATTAAGTAATGAAACGCAATAGACACTACTTTAAAACACACGGTTGTGTATATTCCTTTCACAAAGTAAGAAAACTATATAACTCCTAGATAAACTTCGCCAAGTAAACTAAATTCTCTATGGTGCAAAAACGCCGATACCCCGAGAAGTTGGCGGGAACTCAAAGCCTGGGAGCAAATGTGCAGATGTTGTAAGCACTCCTTTTTCAAAGAAACAGGGTTCCTAGGACCAGCATCGCTATGAAATAATCCTCAGACCTCAACTCTAATGCAAAGAACCCACCCAGATTAAAGGCGGGGGGCAATTTTCCTACATGTTTCCCGTTTCAGCTGCTTCCAGAATCTTACTTTTTACTGGCTTCTCATTAATCTTCCTGAATTCTCTTTCCTGGTGTCCTTTGTTTACTCTTTGCCAAAACAGGTAAGTTTACCTGTTGCTGCTACGACCCCTTACATTCTGGCATTTCCTCCCTTCCCCTTTGCAGGTCCCCAACTTTCTGAATAGAGACCGTCTTCGTTCACCTTCCCCCTCTCCTGCGCCCCAGGGAGCTCACGCTTCCTTCCTGCTCTCCCCTCTTCTCCATCCGCCCCTCGCTCAACGACAGCCTCCCAGGCCCACCTCGCTCTCCCTTCTCAGCTTAAAAGCATGACCTGGCCAATGCTACCTAAATCAGGCGGCGTGCAAGAATCCGAGCTCAAGTCCCGCCTCCAAGCCATCCTCACTGCCCAGATTTGCCGCCTTCTCGCCACCGCTACCCACTAACACCCAGTCAAACACATTTCAGACGGCCTGGTTCAATTACTTCTAAATCACTTCTGCGAGACACAAAAACGCGGCCCCTGACGACCCAGCAGCCTTCAAGAGAGAAGGCGAGAATAACTCAGAAGGCAAAGTACACCAAGGGACAGAAAAGCAACCGAAACGACCACGAGACAGCGCAGGGAGACTCGGGGCTCGCAAACCCGGCTCCCTGCGCGCCATGACTCAGTCCGCGCCCCGGCCCGGGGCGACCCCCGAGCGCGAGCAGCGCCGGCGCGCAGCGGTTACAGGCGCCCG